AGTGACTAAACAAAACCCACGAGTTACTTATAATAGACCCTACAAAGGGAAAATGGGATTTTTATTATTATTATATATTATATTAGATATGGGAGTTCATTACATGATATATTTGTTGTACAAGTAAGTATAGGAAACAATTTTAAATAAGAATAAACTTCTTTACACCAATGCGATGCGCGAAGACCCACCATCACACGATAATGCCGTACTTCAACAAACTCGGCACTTGCTCGTATTAAAGTGATCATTAGAGCATTCTTGGACGACTTAATACGAACAGAAGTAACCCACTTAGGACTTAATTACTTAATAACATTTAATTAATGGAGAAAGCTACAAAGGAGCAAACAATTAATTGGGAAAATCTTTGCAGTGAAAGAGTATGAAGAGTTTAAAAATTGTAAAAGCAGAGCAAACATATACCAAGAGCCAAAGTACGAATATTTTTACTTTTTTATTTGAAACAAATCTAAACACATGGCACATGGATAAGAGATTAAAACAATTTTAATTTAAGCTATATCACTTTTCCCCATAACATTACAAAAATAATATACCTACACATTTGTATGCAGTATAGCACTATATACACAATATCTATGTAATATCAAGTTGTTTAGACAATGTTATAGACGTTCTATTGTTTTTTAAGATTTGACAATAATGCCGTTAGGATATTACTATGCCATGCGTCGGTGTATTTACACTTGGTTTAATTTTGAAGTATTAATAATAATTTAATTTCACAAAAGTATGTACCAATGACTTTGTTTTTTAGTAGTGTTTCAGGAAATTTTATTTTTATTGTAGTAGTTGAACTCTTGGACTATTCCCATTTATCGAATTAACACCACTTGCCGCCCAATCTAGCGATTTGAGCAATAAAAACAGTCACTTGTAATATCGGATATGTGGTTATGTAATCATAATTATTTATGGTACATCACTTATACTATTAGTAACCCTTACTGACGAAACTTTTATACGCCAAAAATTAGAACAAAAATGTAAAAAATAGTAGTCACTTCCTTTACTTTTATTTATAGTAAAAACGTCTATTATATTGAGTCTTTATATAGGAGCAAAATCTATACTAATGTATAAAGCTGAAGAGTTTGTTTGTTTGTTTGAACGCGCTAATCTCAGTCGGTTCGAATTGAAAAATTATTTTTGTGTTAGAGCATTTATCGACTATATGTATAGGCTATAAAACATCGCAATGTGACTAATACAAGCGAAGATACAGCGAAAAATGTAAAAAAAATTGGGAACATTATTCATCATTATGAGCTTCCGAGGCGTACGCTGCCTGAACGATTCAAGCTACCCAAAAAATACGTACAAAATAATAATTCCTCTTTAAATGATTTAAAAAAAAGTCCGCGACACTATATGTCTATTTTTTAAGATGATCTCGCAAGAACGACGGGTCGCGATCGATGTCGAAGGCGAAAACTAATTTGGATGCCCAAAACAACGCGGACGAAGTCGCTGACACAGCTAGTTAATAATAAATAGACAGAGTACTTAAATTCTTCTTTCAGTAAAATTATGTACCTATCATATGCCTTCTCTTCTTGTAGCATGGCTAGTGGGATACCTTGCTCTGTAAAGGTCGTATAGGTAGGTACGCCATTAGTAAACATTAGACAAAGCGTAGGTGTTAAGTGCAATTGTGTTGAGAACAAGAAAATCTGAGTGCAATGTCCTGCGTGGATCATTAATTTGCTGCATCTCTCGCTTCAGAGAATATACGCTAAGTCAAAGAAGTCAATATACATTTTGGCTATATTGTACTCCTACCTAGGGTAAATCGATGAAATTTTAAAACAGATGCCAATATTCCTTGTAGAATTGTAATTAATATCTAAGGCAGTTTTAAGCAGCCCAGCATAGTATTAAGTAGGAGAGATCCTAGGTCATAGATGCCTTACAGAAGGATTCGGGTTTCCACACTTCACAATTATTCTCACAAAATAAATATAAAATGAGTTATTTTACTAAAGTATGTTTCACCACGAACGATATTATCATATATGCATTAAGTGGTTGACGCTTAACCTCCTTCGTAAAGCCTAGTAGATATTTTTAATAACACGTTAAACGCGATATATGTATATTTTAGTTAAACATCCCCGTTACGGCTGCTACGAAGCATCCGAAACGTCGGGCCATAGTTAAAATAATTTTGAAACAAGTTTAACTAAAATATATCGCGTTTTAAACCGTTAAAGTGTTTTATTTTAATACTATATTATTTCCTACGTAGTTAAACTCGTGCAGTGTCGATACTTGCAGAGATAAAGATCGAGTGCATTTAGCTTTTCAACCATGAAGAAAAGGCAATTTGCATCAATTAAACAGTACCTCCGTTAGTTGCATTTACTCTTCCGAACGAGTAATTATATGGAATATGCAAATGCCTCCAGATACAAGCGAAAAAGGCGAATAAAAATGCCTTGTCGAAACGTTACGTAGACTTACGTCTTATCTATACTAATATATAAAGCTGAAGAGTTTGTTTGTTTGTTTGAACGCGCTAATCACAGGAACTACTGTTTCGAATTGAAAAAATATGTTTGTGTTAGGTAGAGCATTTATCCAGGACAGCTATAGGCTATAACACATCGCGATGTGACTAATAGGAGCGAAGAATCAACGGGTAATGTGGAAAAAAACGGAGAAAATTAGTCAGGCGTACGCTGCAAGAACCGTTCAAGAGATACAAAAAAATTGTATGAAAGAACGATTCCTCTTTAAATTATCTAAAAAAAGCCCACAACGCTATATGTCTGTCTTAAGGTTAACTTGGAAGTACGGCGGGACACGAACGACGTCACAGGTCGTGGGCAAAGTTGATGTTCAAAATAACTATTCTACGCGGACGAAGTCGCTGACACAATTAGTACATAATATGTGGATGGTCGTGTGATGGAATTTGTTGGTATCCAAAAGTTTTAGAAAAAACCGAAAATAACTGAATAATGAGACCTGTTCGTAATTACTTAATATCTATTACGTATTATCAGTCTTAATATATTCATAGAAATGCTTGATAAGATACATACCCTTGATATGTTTTAATATACCTAAAATAATAAATTTCAAACTTTCCCCACAAAGTGACTTTGTAGTGTAATAATAAAATAATTTCATATTTTAAAAGATAAAATATTAAAACTTAAGTATTGCTCGAGTAAAAGTTATCGAGTAAATCTGTATTCCAGCATGCAGTGTGTTGTAACATTTTTAGTAATAATGGTGAAACTCAAGCAATGAGTACTAATACAAACACACCATGAACCACGATCCAAAAACTTTTCATATGACACATAGCTATTCATATAAATCATATACTGTGTGTAGTTTACGCGAGTAGTACACATTTAAATGTAAAACTTTAACAGTTTGAAACTCGATATGTATTAGTTAAACTTATTTAGAAATTATTTTAACTACGGCCCGACGTTCGAGTCTCGCTGCAAAGCATCCGAACTGTACTTAAAGGCTATAATAATAATTACTATGAGATCAGAAATTTTTATAATTAAGTATAAATTACATCGCCTGTCGCATAAAAGGATTGACATAATTCAATGATCATGCATGGAATACACGAGTTCAATAGGTAAAGTAACAACAGTTGGAGTTCTTTGGTGTCATATTATTTTTCCATCTAATATAAGTTAAAACTCTAATAACATTACAGAAATAACAATTTTACATTTGTTCCGTAAATAAATACACATTTTCAAGGGAGTAACCTTTAAACAATTGTGCAGTCTAGTCTGAAGTCTACATGGTTGAATGGAGACCCTTGTCCATTTAGCAGATATATTTATAGAGATCCTTTGTAATGTTAATTTAGAACATTATTGTGTAATATTGTTAAACATTCAATAAGCACTAGATATGTTTTTTTTTAGTGAAAAGAGTGCTATAGTCTTTGAAAACTTAACACTATTTTGGTTTTAAAAGAATAAGAGAATTACAAATGGAAAAAATCACTCTGGCAGGATTTGACCTACTTCTTTAATTTTATTAAAAAAAAAGCCCACCAGCAGTTATTACAGAGTATAAAAATGTAGTAGGTATTACAAATATGGAGTAAAGCTATTGGAGTAAACTATTATGTTCCATGGTCTTGCTTTGCATCAGTTGGTTAAAAAAATATTTGTTTAATGTAAATATAAAAGCTACCTCTATTTATCTGTGTACATACATGTAAAATATGTTTGAAGTTAATAAGAAAAGTAAAACTAAAAGACAAATATATGAATATCTAAATTGGTCTAATTTACAATATGTAACTTTAAAATAATCTTGGACATAGACTCAGATTTTTTAACTGACATTAAGTTAAAACTATATGAGCGCAGTGTTCCCTGTCTCACCTAAGTATTGTGACGTAAGCTTATGAAACAATTAAGAAATTATGGATCCATAACTATGAAGCAACGGCACAGGAAGTGTGCACACTCTATTGCGGAGTATCTAAAACTTTATCAGAGGCGTGTCATAAATCATTGGTGACAAAGATAAACATCCTTCAGATAAATGATAAGTAGGACTGTAATAGACATTGTTTTTAAACAAAAGTGATTTATTTTATAGTAATTTTAGGAAATCACACAGTTTGACGTTTTTTAAAATCTAATTTAATAAGTATGCATAACAATACAACTACTAATGAAAATATATGAATTGGCAATACCCTAGACAAGAAATAGTCAGAAAGAACACAAATAACTATCTTTGTAATAATAAAGAATACATTTTTCTTGTATTTATATAATTTTAATGTTATCCAGGACATCTGGTTAAGCATTGTGAAGAAGATCTCAAAAGAGTGGCTGGCATAAGATAGACAAGAGTAGCAAGGAGAGGAAATTTGAGAAGAAGAAAGCCTCTTTGGAACAAGAGGCATAAATATAAAATAATAATATATTTTAAAGTTTAATTTAAGCTTATAGAAATGTTTTATAATTATGACTCACCCGTTGCAGTTCCAAGGAGTGGTTGTAGAATCTAAGGAGTTTGTCTACTAAAGGTTTAACAGCGCGCCATGCCCTCTCCTGTGTGATGGTCGAGGGATCAGCTATAGCTTCACGAATCTCCTTGCCAGCCCCTTTGTAACACTGTATCTCTTCTAATATCTTGTCGGAATTAAATAAAACTCTTTGCACCTCCTCGTAAACATCCCGTTCGGTGTCTGTGGGCGCAGCGTTTTCGAAATCCAAGAATATATCGTACCTCGGTGAAGAGCAGCAATTAGAATCGTCCCGAGCTAACAAACTCAACAATTTTCCCATATTTTAAATATTTAACACACAATTTATTTCTCTCAAAAGTACCTCCTCAGCGACACTGACCGCATTGCCTGATAAGCTCGAGATAAAATACAATTTTGCTATTATTGAAGATTAATTCCGCCACTATCACGAGAAAACCAAAGGTTGAGGTAATAAATAAAATCGTTGAGAAATGTTGTTTTCAGTGATTCATTTTAACAAAAATGCACTGTAAAGTAAACGTTGCAACTGTGATACCCCACCGAGAAACCGAGGATAACTACGAAGTTGCTGCGAAATATGAACAATACCGAATACAGTGATACCAGTTCTTACAGATTACTTCCCCTAGAATAATCTGTAAGAACTGGTATCACAATATCGAATACAAAAATTGAATATAGATTTGAAATCCCTATACTTCTTATAAAAACTAAAAAATATAATTAGTCGAGTGTGTTATTGCTGTGCTTTATGTTTGTGCATTTTATATTAATTAACTAATAACACTTTAACACTCAGAATAGGATTGAAACAAAACCATTTTTTTAATTTCATATTTTTTATAGTTTTAATTTTTTGACCTAAATCTTTTCGTTAATTTATTGCATTCTTGTTGTTATTCGATAATTATTAGGGTCTAATTAGTTACAGAGAAATAATTAACAATTGAAATTAAAAACAAATTGCTCACTTTTTTCTCGTGAACAATTGCTTTTATTTCTTTTTTCTTCAGTAGTTTATTCAGTTTTATTGAATCTGTGGATTCAATAAATATCAGAAGTCTCCCTCAAATCTGGGCGGAAAACCTTAGAGCTGGCATCACTGCCCGAATTTCCATAGTGAATAGAGTTCCATACTCTGTAGTTTAGTCTTTATCAAGTCTATACGTGATGCCGTATTACCACAGACGTGTAGATAAGACAGCTACAACAAAGCATGCTGTCGCATTCTAGCACACGGTAATGTTCCATAAGAAAATAAGGAAGAGTAATTTATCGACTCAATCTCTTACACCGATAAGTTTATAAATTCCCGCGACTATTTTTAAAAAGCTTGACACTGGCAAATAGTTAACTCTTCTTGCCACAAATGAAAACAATGCTGAAAAAAGAGTGGTATAATTAAAAACGCAAAAAATAAACGATACTTTTTAATATTTTGCGAAGCAATCACGCGCAGGAGCATAATGGGAGATTTATTTTCTTAAATAAGTCTATGTACTTATTGTATGTTTTCCTATTTGGTTGATTTTTATATTTGTACATAATAATAAAAAATGAAAACCCAGGCATTATTTATTTATTTATCATAAGTGTATAACATCGACACAATGCCAAATGTACATTACATTCAAGTTTATATTACAAACAAATCGCTTTTACTTAATCCTCTAATGAAATTAATAGCTATTTACAAAATTATTCTTATTTTGATACATATATTGTAACATTAGTCTCTATTACATAATATATAAATTATTTTCTCATATTAGCATGCCGATGAGCAATCTTGAGGTATCATCTAATAATAAAAATTATCTAGGGCAACACCATATTCACGGAAACATAAAATTTGATAGAATAAAACAAAACTTTCTGAAATTCAAGAAACCATTGTAAGCACAAATTAATTTGAAAAAAAACGTGAATTAAAAAACAGATGCAATCGAAGCCACAACTATTTACCTACCAAACTATTCCCGTTTGGAATATGCTGTTGTCCGGCATTATATTTTAACAGACATAGAGATCAAGTGCGAATATTATATATTTAAAAAAACAACATTCATATATAGAGCTGTACATAATTGATAAAAAGTCACACGTGAAATGTATAACGCTAGCCGAGTCAGCGACTTAGTGTGTGTAGAATAGTGTTTTTGGGTATCAATTTTTGTTTTAGCAAACCTCCTGTTCTACTGTATAATTTTAAGCATTTGCCCACGACGTCGTCCGCGTACCGACGTTCTTCTATTTATGGGTATCTTGTACCGTTTTCGCAGGAATGAATGAATAACTTACTTACCCGTTTTTTTGACATTTCGCGATGTATTTCGCTTCTATTAGTTACAGCGATAAGTTTTATAGCCAATCGACTTCTAACCAACACAAAATATTTTTTCACTTCGACGCAGTACTTCCTGAGATTAGCGCGTTCAAACAAACAAACAAACTCTTCAGCTTTCTATATTAGTATAGTTTATCAGAAACAGTCTTCAGAAACAAAATCATCTTTGTAAAGTAGGTACGTACCTGGGACAGTTGATATAATATTCGTCTCGATTCAAACAGTATGATATTAAAACAATACTAGAATGTTAAGCCCCTGTATAAAATTTCCATCTACAGATTAATACATAAATATGGACAGAACGAGACAATATATAGATACAAATAATTATTATTAATCTAATAAAAGATGTAACAAATAATCAGCACACAGTTCATATTATCGTGTAATTTAAAGATCAGTCTAACATTCGATAATATTTTTATGTCTACCTGTTATGTGATAAATAAGGTTTTAGATAATTTGAATTAAGGCATCAAATTAAAATAAATAGTAATTATAGTATTCGGCTAAATATATGATTAGTGACAAAAGATGTAATAAGGGACAAGTAGGACGAAACGGTTATTAATAAAAAAATGTAACTTATTTGTGATTTTAAACTGCTGTAAGAAACTTTTGATTAAATCATAATATGTATAATAATTTTAAGATAGCTAGCTAGATAAGTTACAATAAATTTACAACAAATTAAAAAAAATGTCTTCGAAATTTAAAAAAAAATTAATGTGGGTAGTTAGTTATTTTGCCTTCCGCCTATGAGATATAAATCTGTTAACTGTGTAGTATTACGACATAAAGACACTCAGACTAAGACACCGTTCGCACAACAATATTAAATTAATTTTTAATATCGTAATCTTATTGCTACAACTAAAATACAGTTATCTACATTGACTATGCTTACCCTTAAATATTTTGGTGTAAAGATCCGTCTTACAGTTTAATCTAATTAAAATTGTTGTTAATGTAATCGTTACGCACCTATAGTTGAAAAGAATTAGATTTAATTTCAGTTGATTTATTTTGCGGAATAATACGTATTATATCTTAAAAGTTAAGTTATTAATTTTTTAATGTATGTTAGTGAGTATTTATAATTAGATAGGTGGTGCGTTGCTTCATGTGTTTGTCAACGAAATAACTATTTAAATGCATCAAAATGCGTTTACTCGATTTTCTCAAAAGGGCCATTAATTAGTTTGATCAATACAAAATAATTATATAGATATCAATATATGTGAAAAAGTAATTATATAAAAAAATTAATACACATTAAACTTTAAACAAATCTTACTAAAAGTTTATCCCGATCTAAAGAAATAGGAACGGTTTCAACGCATTTTTATTTTTACGCAGGTAGAGTAATAAAATATTAAGTAAGACTAAGACAGTTCTCAAACAAATGAAATGAGTTTTACGACGATATAAGTCGCTACTTATGTCGATTTTTTATGAATCGTCGCAAAACTTATGTCACTTTTTTTTAAAATTGCCTACCTTGAGTCAGTATCGTGGTCTACGTCCATTTAATAATTCATTTTAAATCGTGCATATATTAGTTAGGTATAGTATCTACGCTAACGAAATTCCGTGAATGCAAGCGAATAGGTACCTTCTTTAGTTTCTTCTTGTGCACCTTTTGGATGTATTTTTTTACAAATAAAAACTTATATTTACCTTTTTATATTATGTATCCTTCTGAATAGTATTTGTATGTTAATTAAGCTTAAAAGATTTGTCTCGACAATGTAATTTCATCAGTCAATGCGCACTTCGTGATGTGACCAATAAAGGGACTGTAAATAAATTGAGACCACTTCTAATGGAATAGGATGCATGAATTTAAATTATGAAATCATAGTACCAATCTGATTATACATTATTTAAAAGTAGGGCAATTCTTAACTAATTGTCGACATAAGTCGGGATTTACGTCAGTTGTATAATAAAAAGTACCCCGTATCATGGTGCAGGTGACAGTTCAAGTAACGTTCCATTTCACTCAAAAAGTTGACGCAAACAACAAATCATGACTTAGTATTTTAGCTGTACCAACAATCGTAATTAAATAATTACTAACTGGAGTAACTTTTACTTGGCCCAGTCAGAAAGTTCTAGTTCACAAATAAATTCAAATTGAAGGAATAGTGTTATACGTATAACGTAATGCCATAGATGTCATTATTGATGCGATGTAGAATGGATAGTCGATATTTTTATAATAAAATCGTATTAGAATAACAAAAAACATTATTTCTCAATAAGTTTATGGCCATGTCCTAAAGGTCTCCTCTAAATGGTAAAACATAATAATTTGACGAGAAACTAAAACGTACGTTTGTCGTAGAAAATATATGTCAACTGTCATCATGCTACAGACTATGACAAACTATAGTGGAAAACGACGCTGAATATATCGTTTTTTTTTAAGAATTGCCCCCTGCAGCGAGTAATTTGTAAAATGTAACAACTATGACTGTTGCAACCGTTGCTCCTGGAATATTTGTTATCTATCTAAAATATTTAAGAGCTGATACTAAAAGAAATTTCTCTATGAACAGGTCAGAGTCAAGTGCTGCAATATGAGCTGCTCTGCCGACGAGTGCGCTGGCTGTGTGGGGTAAGGCATGCTGGACATCATACCGCACGACTGCTGCTGATGAGGCTCGTGCTGCTAGAGGCGAGACCATGTTGTGCACCTGAGTAAAAAGCATACAGTTTATATAAAAGTGGTTAAGGCAAAAAAAATGGGATACACGTGTTCTGAAGCCGCTCTAGCTTATCCAGATGCTCCTCCGGTAAATTAATGTAAGAGACGAGAAGATAGAAAAGAGAAGAGAGCAAAAGAGGTGGGTAATCGAGAATATAAGATATACATTGCTAGATTTTAACCAGCGACAAACGGCGAAACGCGCTGTTACCGTCTACTAAGTAAACGGGTTTTTATAATCTGTATTCCAAAATGGCTGAAGACCTAAGATGGTTATCAAATTTAGTTGCACGTGAAAGCTTCCATAAATTATAGGTATATGGCCAAATAAAAACAATTTTTTTAGATTTGAAATAGTCGTAGCTTTATTTTTATTATGCTACTAATGAACCCTTGTTTTTATTTTATTACGTCGTTTATATATAATTTCTAATTAAATAATTATTTATTGTTTAAAATGTTTAATAGGTAACTACTTTGTGCATTATTATGCAAAATATGCACTATAGTAATGTTTCATATACTTATAGGTATCCCCTCAATATCTATTTTCATGCATTCGTATTAAGGTTTAATCGGATTGCCTCTGTAGCAAATGGATCGTGTTGCCTCACATTTTGCAAAGCGCGAGAGGTCCTGGTTTCGAACCTCAGGGCAAAAAAATAGATTGCTTCGGTCGGGCAGGGCATAGAAGTCTGACCGAACACTCCGTGAAGGAGTCGAACAATGAAACGGACACAGAAATGTGTTCGTGTCATGAACCAGTTATATCACTTTTATTTTAGGATATATACAAGGTAATAACTCACCATTTCTCTATAAGCTTGTCCCAGTAAGGACGTGTCTTTAGCAGCCGCTTTGCATAGCTCAAGCCGCGCAGAATGTAATGGAACGTATCTGTCTTGGCCAGACCCACAAAGCAAGATATGTTTGAACTGATGCAGTTGACTCCGTTCGCTGAGTCTGTAGAGGAAAGAACGCCGCGGGTCTGACGCGTCTCTCAGAGAGAGTTGAAGTAGAGAACCTGACTTCTTCCACTTTTGCATAAACCACATACCTAGAAATTAATTTCATTTATTTATTTTAACCTCATGGGTCTCCCATGAGTGGTCTCCCAAAGGTGATGGATGTTTCATTTGACGGGTATACAACTAATAATTAACGGGTCGTGGATTCGATCCCCAGCGGGTCCAACAGGTTTTTTACCAATTTATAATTTGTCTGAAACATGTCTGGTCTTCGTCTGGAAATCTGGATATGAAATGGATGGATGGTCACGTGCCACCTCGCACAGAGGAGATAGCCGTGAAGTTTAATCGTGTTTCGGTGTCAGTTGTGGTCCAAAGCCAAAATAGGATAACAGACCATCTTACTGAGAACTGAAACCCATGCTTGCCTGTCATAAAAACGTATATCAAAAAACAGAATTTTCAGATTTTTATCCAAACGACTTGACGTATTTCTATACCTAAAATTAACTGACCTTTAACAATAAACGGAATGAAAAAGGTTAATTATTATAGGTTAACCTGCTTGTTGGAGTGTTTGTTTTAACAGTACAGGTTCATACCTTCATATCCACAGCACAGCACATATTTAGGTACTCATGTACATAAATATGTGCTATCAATAGTTTAGATATTTATATTCAATTAAATCATTTTATACCAGCTGTGATGCAAACTATATTTAGTAATCCAACGTTTGTAAAACGATACTTAAAAACAAGATCGCATTTCAACCAGTTTAAAATTGTTTTATTTTAATGGCGATACGACTGAGTAATTAATTGCTATTTCATTTACCTGCGTTAACAAGCCCACTAGAGTTATATAAAGTCCCCAAATGGGGACCACTAAGCGATAGGAATGTATGTAGTCTCCCGAGGAACGGCTTCATTTGTGGTCTCGCGAGAGCAGACCGAATTATTATTGTGCCTAAGGAATGCCCGACGAAACTGATTCGCGTCGGTTCGCTGGAGTTTTGTATGTGAGTTAGAATTTCTTGGACCAGCCTGAAAAAAAAATTATTAAATTTATTTTATTTTGACTATGGCATAATCATATATGTTGTTGAGTTGGACGAACTCATGTTCGTCCAACTCTTTTAGGAAGGGTGTTATTTTTTATCATCGCGCCCTCGATTGCTCGAAGAGTTCTTCTTAATTCTTCGAGCAATTGGAGGCCTATTAGGCCTCCAATTGCTCGAAGAATTAACGCCTGATGATGCCGTCTGCACGTGATGGCGAACCGTCGAGAACCTCTTCTTGCTCGTCGACCGAACAGCCCGAAAAACATATGACTATATGAAACATGTGAAAAATATATTTAAATAAAACACTTTAACGATTTAAAACACGACCAGACCAAGTTAAAATATATTTTTTCTAATAAGTTAAGTTATAAGGTATACTTCGCGTTTTAAACCGTTAAAAATGTTTTATTTCAATACTAAATACTTTTAAGTTTAAGCATGAAACCAAATATTTTTGGTAGGTATGTATACGGCGGATATAAAAATGCTGCAAAGTTTTACTAGCATCCGATTTTAATTCTTATAAAATCCGTTGAGTACTTTCTAAGATAAGTGTTAACATACGGACAATTAGGATTAGTATTTTTAACCAAACTAAGTCTAAAACATTCCTTAAATCCACAGAAAAAAAAATGTCTACTGTTAAAATATAATGATGATCATACCTATCGGTCATTGTATCAAAATCTGAAAACGTGTCTCCTTGATTTCTTTCGGACATCAGGAAATCTAGACGCGCTCCAGGTAAACCTAATTCTAAATATGTTTTAACTAGACGCAGGTCAGCTGCATTGCCATCCAACCCATGCACGCATATGATAAGATGAAGACCTGCGTAAAAAGGTAATTAGATGATAATATAACGTATAATAACTATACCTTGTCCAATATAGATTGATAAGTTTGGCAATGTACAATAGAGAAAGGGTAGTACGCACTCGTTAGAATAAGTACCCGAATATCAGTGCTTCATTTTTAATTATAATATAAAATCGATAGTTTAATACAATAACTAATTCACGAATCTCCTTTTCTCTCGTGGGGCATGGGTCGAACACATTACTGTGTCCGTTACACTGATCGATTTTATTAACAGGCGGTATTTTGACATTATAGTTGATCAGATTTCTGTACTCTGACCGACCGAAACAATTTGTTTCCACGAAATTCGAACCTAGCACCTCTCGCGCTTAACCATTTAGCTACAAAGACGGGCAGGAAAATGTTATTTAAGTATTTAAAGTACAATATTGAGAACATGTTAAAGCCTTCATATACATATAATAATGAATTATTTGATACAATTTTAATTGAAATGAAACGTCATAAAAGTTAAGATGAATTAAACATATAGAAAAGCCAAAATGGTCAACGACGCATCTTGTTTAGATGGTTATATGGCTGAGGTATGTCACCTTCCATCAAGTGCCCTCATCGATCATAAAAAAAATCTAAAAATTATCCTTTACATTTATTAATAATAAAAAGTGAAGTTTACCCTCCGGATTGAACATTCTGTACTCGTCGCTAATGTGGAAATAGGGAAGGGAGTTTTCCACCGGCGGAAAGTCTGAGTAAATTGCCCCTGGATATTTCACGCTCTGTCTAAACTCATCTCTACACTTCACAAACAGTCTTTCAGATTCCGCTAGTCCAAATATACTGACGAGGTTGCTTTCGCGTTCTGAAAAGGAAAAATTGCATTTAGGCCCTTTTTGGAATGAGGTTCAAAAACGGGGCTTAATTTAATTCTTATATTTAAAATATCGCGCTTATTGGGAGGGACGTCTCCTGGAATATTTATTTTGTATCATCTGTAGTTTACGCGAGTGGTACACTTTTGACGCATTACGAACATATTGACGGTTTAAACTTATTTGAAAAATATTTTAACTACGGCCCGACGCTTAGGATGCTAACTAATATATGTCGCGTTTTAAACTGTTAAAGTGTTTTCATTTAAATGTTTCTTTGTTTTCGCAGACAAACATAATCCGTGAAAATTACAGAAGTGTAGCTATTGTAGTTCTTGAATTAATGTAACCGGGTTACAGACAGAAAAATTTAGCCTTAGTTATAAGGTTCCATATTATGGTCATGGTATATTCCGCCATTCATTATGGTTCCGTGTTTGATCCTATACTAGCTGTGTCAGCGACTTCGTCTGCGTAGAAGAGTTATTTTGGGCATCAAAATTCGTTTTTGCAAACCTCCTAACTCTATATAATTTAAGTTACCCTCGACGTAGCTCGCGTCCCGTTCTTGTAAGTTAATCTTAAAACATAGACATATGGTGTTGCCGACTTTTTTAGATCATTTTTTCGTCATAATTATTTTCACCATTTTTGAGGTATCTTGAACCGTTTTCGCAGCGTGCGCATCGGCAACCCACGAAGATGATAATTTTCCCCGTTTATTTTCACATTTAACGCTGTTTCTTCGCTATTATTAGTGTGACTAATGTTTTATAACCTATCGCCTTCCTCGATAAATGCCCTAACCAACACAAAAATAATTTTTCAATTCGAAACAGTAGTTTCTGAGATTAGCGCGTTCAAACAAACTTTTCAGCTTTATTAGATAGATAATGAGACAAATTCTAATAAATAACAATATAGATATTTTATTTTACCTTTACTACAGCCGTTGTCATTTCTCGAAGCTAATTCTCCCGTGCTCTGGCTTTTATTCAATGTGCTCGTTGCGGAAGACGCAGACACACTTGAAGTCTTTTGAGGTCGTGACTTTCGTCTTTCTAAAAATTCTAGAATAAACAGAAATACATCGTTACAATATATGGACTGTAGGTAATTTTACGGTACTTGTACGGAATTTAATTTAGTAGTTATAAGTATGTAATAAAAATTTGTGTTAAAGGGCAATAACATTTTTGAATTTTAATTTTTAATTATATGATAATTTTTTTAGAATGTTTTGGCTTGACCAGTTTAGGTAAAATGCGGTTACATTAAAAGTATTCTTCATTAGACAAGGACCACAGATGTTTTCGCAAAATGATCGATTAATTTAAACGTTCTTATATATATCTCATACATTGGGTAGGTATTTGATATTAAAATAAATATGAATTTAACATTCTACCTTCGCAGACATGATACAGCGGGTTATCTAATTGTAGACTCGTTGGTTGCTCTACTTTCCTTGATTTTGATGGTGTTGACGATTTACTACTTTGACGACTGAGCATTGGCGATTTTGAAGGAGGATCCTGTAAATGTTATATTAATTATACATACCCGTATTGTTTGACAGGCTCATTCGTACTGTCTATAGTTTACGCGAGTAGTACACGCTTAAATAAAACACTTTAACGGTTTAAAACGCGATATATTAGTTAAACTTATTTGAAAATGATTTTTAACTTCGACCCGTCTCCTCGGGACCACGGCTGCTGCTCCGAAGCATCCGAAACGTCGGGCCGAAGTTAAAAATCATTTTCAAATAAGTTTAACTAATATATCGCGTTTTAAACCGTTAAAGTGTTTTATTTAAAAGGCTCATTCATCTAACGGTGGTACAACATGTTTCTAATCAATTTATAATTTATTTAAAATAAATCGGATTACGTTGCCCTTGTTTTATTTGTATAATGTTAAGAAAATTCTAAGTTAATATTATTTTCTGCAACTCTTAATAAATGATTCATTTATTAACTAAATAACATGTGACTTAATTCATAACATGTGATAATAAGAAAAAAACGATAGATTTTCGTATAATAACCTTCTTAGAATCTATCTACAGTATTATGTCAACAATTAAATCATCTAAACGTATCGTACCATCCTTTACTCTATTGGTATCTTTATTAGTATTTAATCAATTCCTTACCTTAAACTGATCGGGTGGTGGTGGTGCATCTCGGAATTGCTGTGGTGGTGGTAAATGCTCGTAATCATTGTCAGGAATATAATGACTTAAATCTAACTCGGACTTCGCTTTTCCGTGAGGCTTTTGTCCCGCACTTGCTCCCTTGTGATTTTTACAAGGGCGACCGACGGTTAAGCTTCGTATCTCTGCGGCTATAAGTTTTTCAGTATATTCGATTCTATCTCTTAACTTTGTTTTGTCTAGAGTATTTGATTTTATCGGAAGTGGTTCAGGTTTAGGAGGAAGTTCTTTCCTTCCATATGGATGTAAATTATCACTTATAGTCTGTGATTTTTTCACGACTCCTTCACTAGAGGACTTTGAAGTAGATGTTTTACTTTGTATTGCACTGAATGAATTATGCCTTTGATTAACTTTACTACTCATTTCGGAACATTGTTTGCAAGTGGCTGGACAGGTGTCAGATGTACAACCAGTATCTATTCCGTTGCTTTGCATTACTTTATTGTACTCACATTGACTATCAGTGCATATTGAATCACTACAAATGGTACACTCCTCGCAAACATCTTTATCGCAACACTCGATTTTATCCTCATGTTCCTTTTGTTCGGTGTTAACAGCTAACTTCATTAGTCTTTCTCTTAGTTGTTCGCCATTGAGAATGCTTCTTTTAAATTCTTTTAATTTTTCACTGTCCCGTTTTCGGACTTCTGTAGGAGCTTCGTAAACTTTATTTGTGCTTTTTGCTACAGTGTTTCTGGTAGGTGGAATGTTTTGATTAACGCTGCTCGCGTTGTCTGGAGATGATTGGCCTGAACTGCGTCCACTGGATACCCAACCGCTTTGCTCACTTAAACTAGAAGTTGAACTTTGGCTTCTTTTTTCTTCTTTATTTAGGAAATTGTCAGGTGGCAAAATTTTGAAGTCTTTGTCGGTAATATCTAATGGAGGCGATTCAAATGCTGCAGGAGGTGGGGCCAAGTTGGGTAGAGACTCAGAACCAAATGTATTATTTAAATTTGGTTCGTCTAAAACCGATGCAGCGCTTCTACAATGCCTCAATTCGTTGCCATGATCCAAGCTGTAAGGGACGCTCGCTGAGGATTCCAATCTTCTTAGTTCAAACGGAATACTTTCATCACTCGAGGACGATGCTGCTTCAGACATCAGTTGAGTCATTTTTTCGGATGGTTTATGTTTGCAACGTTTGTCTGGCTTTCCACTTGATCTGCCACTTTTTGGCGTAGCTATTCCCGATTTTGGAGTGGCTCTTCCAGACTTAGGTGTCATTAAACCTGATCGTGGAGTGATGACGCCTGACTTTGGCGTAGCCTTTCCTGATTTAGGTGTCGCTCTATCGGATTTAGGAGTACTTCGATCCGATTTAGATGTATGACGATCCGATTTGCTATCTCTTGATCGTATGGAATGGTGACTACTCAACGAATCTCGACTTGAGTTTAACCTCGCTGCGTCTTTTCCAGCATGATTGAGTCTTGCTTCCTTTGAACGACTTCTCTTTTGTCTTATCGATGGCATCGTGGAATGAGGTGTAGATGGTGGGGTTTTTGAATATGTCGATTTTGATGTGCCATCGCTACTTCTATCTAAAGTCATAACAAAGCCGCTGTCATCGCTGCTTTTACTTGATTTTTTCTGATAATTATGAATAAGACTTCCAGTAGTAAAATCGTAGCTCCAGTCACCTTTTTGTAAGTAATAGTTAAGTTCATGTCTCAATTGGTTGCGAGCTGCTTCAATATCTATCTGATTTTCTATTTGATGAAACACATGTGTAGAATTAGATCTATGAACATGTTTACTAGATACTAAGTTACTTTGTTCAGTCACTTGAGTTTTCCCACTCACCGGTGGATAAGAATTACGCGGAGGCAACATAGGACGGGGTAAATTTACAGAATAGCCTCGTTGAAATTCTAGAGGATTACGAATATTATTATTTACTTGCATTGTACCCTGATTACCGAAAGCATAACCATATACTTGGTTTGAATTCAATTTCGTCGTTCCATTATACTTATACCCTACATTGTGAAATACTTCATTCGACCCATGAGAGCTGGTATTCAGTGTGCACGGGTTCTTGTATTTCTCTCTAAATTCGTTAATATTCCTTCTATATTCATCTCCCTTCGGACCGCATCTCGTAGTCGTACTGGTTGGATATGACGTAGTTGTTACACTTCTCGGTAGCGTCGTTGGTTTTGGTTGTTGTGGCGGCACATACGGCTTGGGATAGTTCACGGAAGCGTTAGAATTATTTCTTACATTTTTAGTAAGCGTTTGCACGCTTAACGGCGTCATGTTTTGTGATAGCCGAAGCTGGTCAAGTGACTTACTATGTCTAGCTGGTAATGTACTAACACCACTAGTTATTTCATGTTTCCGACCGAATACTTCGTTGTGATCTGATTTACTAATTTGTGGGGCATTATTTTTCGACCCATTAATATCTAATAATGTTGAAGCTGAATATCGGGATAATTGTTGCCCTTGCTGGATAGGACAAGAAGAAAAGGCATTGTTCGGTGGTAATTGAATTTCAGTTATTTTATTATTTTGCACTATGTATCGATTTCTACCCGTTATCTCTAGGTTTTTGTTATGTGGTTTTGTAAGTTCTGTTACGCTCTGCTTGACAAGGGTTCTTTTAGGAGATCCTCTAGCGGATTTTTGGGGAGCAAGAGTCAATGTTGCTTGCAGCACATTCGATGCTGATTTTCCTGTACTGTACTGGGGTTCTAAAACGTCCATATTTTTGGGTAATGTTAAAGTAACTCTTGAAGCTTCAGATGATGGCCTTCTAGAGTCCATCATGGAACTAACACTACATGCACAATCGTCTGCCACAGTATCAGAACACAAAAATGGATCTGAAATAATATTTATAGTTAGAAAACCATAGAAAAACATTTTAAAGAAATAAAAAGCAAAAAATAATTACCACTTCCAGATTTACTCGCGTTTGAGTTCAAAAACGATCTCCTCCTTGCGAACTCAGCTGTATCTTGGTACCTGAGATGGTATTAAAACATCAAATAGTTTCTTTCGAAAATATTTCAAGCCGAAATAATGGGTTAATAGTGAAAAGTATTGCATGACTGTTTACCTGTCTTCGAAAATGATGGGCATTATATGTGGATCGCCATCTAATGCAATGCAGTGAACAGGCAGAGGTGGAAGCAGGGCTAAGTATCGTGACCTTCGTGCCATGTCACCAACGCTCTGATATGATTGGTAGTTGCTGTCGTAGCAGCCTGCTAGCGAGTGTCGTGGATTGTCTAACACGAAAAAGCATTCTGCGAATCGCTTGATACTGAAAATGGAAAATGAAGAATTGATTATCAAATAGTAAAACCAATTTATAAAGTCATAAGTGACGGATGTATTCTAATATGATGAAGGCTAGCCTTACACGGGCCATTAGCTAAAAGCGGAAAGACACCATGAGCATATTAGTCATTTTGATTACTGAAGTCTCTGTAGCATACAATTTTATCTGATACTAGCATTATAGCGTGATAACCAACTGCGGCGTACCCTTATCACAAACTCAAACTTAATTATAATTTATTAGGAAAAGTGTTCATGGAACACATTAATTTTTATGAATACTATATTCCTTTGAAATGATTTAGAAAATTTACCTTGAAGATGTTTATTGTGGAAGCCTAAGTTGCAAAAACGATGGACGCGACGTCTAACAGGAATATTTATAGAAGCTGAGGACGTGAGTTAGAAAAAAAATTACGATGCCAAAATAACTATTCTTGCGGAAGAAGTAGCGGGCTTATCCAAGAATACCAAGCGTGTCTTATGAAATAAAGATACTTAACGGTTTCTTGGTTGGTGGTCTGGTATTTGGCGAAACTTCGGCAAATACCAAGTTTGGCAGAACAGATGGCCTAGCGTAGCAATTTTTTACTTTACGTCAGAGAATCCTCCACTTAGTGTTCCCGTGACCACGGCTGTTGCTGCAAAGCAAAAATGTGAAGTTAAATTTTCCAAATAAGTTTAACTAATCTTCGCGTTCGAAACCGTAAAGGGTTTTATTTAAATATCTACTATTCGCGTAATATAACGTACGTTGTGTTTCTATAGCTAATGGCCTACGTACAGCGGCCTTTGAACTTTTGATTTACCGAAGAGCATGATGTCGAGCTGCGAGTGCATGATGAACATGTGGCCTATCTGACGTATGATGTAAGAAAGCACGCCATCTTAGAGTCACTTCAGCACAAAGTCTTGCGATATCGTGTGCTGCACCCATTGCCCATTCCTCTTCTTCACCAGCATCCGATTTCTGTAAAAAGAATAGACACAACAAATAAGAATATCTATACATTGTTTGACAAGTCGGTAGGACTGCAATGTTTTTTAGAATTTAATTTAAGCAAAAAAGATCCGTCTTGGCTAAATTTTCAGTGATGACCCTCCCCCCCCCCAATTCATTTATTTAATAACAGTATATATTTCGATAATACTTAAACTCGGCTATGCTTACCTTACAAAGATCACTTATATCCTTCATCCTCTGTGCGACTTCACCGACAATTGAGTTCGATGATTCATCTGGAGTAAGGGTAACGCCTGTGGAACCACATACTGCTAAAGCACTTTGCAGGCCTTCTAACGATCCAAGAAGAATTCCGCATACCTCGGCGTGAACTTGTCTGAAAATTATATTATTGTTGTAACTGGGGCAATTTAAATTTCATGTAACATTCGCAAAAGAGTTGGTTCATGAACGCGCTAAACTAATATCTAGTATTGAATTATAAAACTGAAAGGTATGTTGTATTTGTATTGTTTGTAAGGAAGACTGCCTTAACATTGCCAAAAACGTGGGAAGTGTGGAATGATAGGGGATTGTTCTCTTGTGGTTTCCGAAGTGCGGTGCAAAAACGGTTCATGTTACCCTAAAATGTTGGTTAAAATACAAAAAGAACCGCGACATACCGAACGACTCGGAAGTAATGCAAGAACGACGGGCCGAGACGATATGGCTAACATTAATTAAAAAGATGACGAGAGTTTGTAAAAAAATATTATGCATTGATGCGCGGCAAGTATTTGATATAACTATTGTGACCTCGGCAATGTTAATGACAATTAGTTCTGATTACCTCGCATGTGCAATTTTGCTTGAGTTACCACCAGCGCATTTTCCACCAGAACCGAACAAGATGTTTTCGAAACTTCCTGAGGCGTTGAAGCTTGAACCAGCGCTTTTCATTAACTTCCCCCATTGTTTGCTGGAACGTGGTGTACTGAAAAAGGAAGATATGGTATTTCAGTATAGACATAGTATACAATAATTAAAACTAAGGAATACGATTTGAAATTTAAGTACGCGCTAGTTAAGTAAATGAGTTTGTTACAGTAAAATTGATAGCACGAGATAGTACAAGAATCGATGATACATTTATTTATGACACCTAGACACACAATATATAAGTTGATAAACAAAATGCGTAGTATAAACATAGTATTAATGAACTCACCAACTTTGTACATAGTGCATGATACTTTTCCTAAAAGACATGTAACAAACAAATTTCCTGACATTTAATTAGCTTAAAAAACTGACACTACACTATACTTAGTAATTAATAACCTTGCAATTAAATACTGTCTATAGTTTACGCGAGTAGTACACATGACGGTTAACCGTGACCACGGCTGCTGCAAGGAATCCGATACGTCGGGCCGTAGTTAAAATAGTTTTCACATAAGTTTAACTAATATATATCGCGTTTTAAACCGTAAAAGTGTTTTATTTAAACTTTACACATCCAAAATTTTTGTGGGTAGTTTGTAAATATTTGAAAGATCAAAGACACTGAATGTACACTATAGAATAATGTTATAGAATGCTTCCCCAGAAGCCAGGGAAGCATAAAATTGTTTCGGTCGGGCAGGGCACAAAAGTCTGATGAACTTGTCCGTTAAAAGAACGGATCAGTGAAACAGAAACAGAAATGTGTTCGCCCCATGCCCCACGAGGGGGGGGAAACGGGGTTTTACTTTTTTTCGCATATTTTATACTAATTTTACACTTACTTTATATAGGGTTGATGTAAAGCCACCAGACTGGCATGTATAGTGATGGAAACTGCTGATAGATGGAAGTAATCGAACAGCACAGGCAAATGATAATGCAAGCCATTGGAGGGTTGGAAATGGAGTTTCAACACGCGGCAAGATACGGGAGCAAGTGTACTGGATTGGGCACCCTCGCTGCACCATAGTTCTACTCCGAGACTCCATTCTGCCCTCTCGAGAGATTCTTTGAGGTTGCGGCTATCAACTGCAAAGAGATGTAGAGGAAAATGTTAGGGGGGGGATTAATATAGTAATTTTATTGAGAAAGGTACATGTATCCTTTACTGTAACAAATTTGTTACGTAAAGTAATTGTAAATTGCAGAGACGTAAATTTTCTCCAAATTTTTCTTGATATATGGAGTGAGCTTGTGAAATATTTATAGTTTATTATTTCCTATAGATAACTAACTTATATAAGTCTCACGCGTTGATATTGCGATGGAACCTTGTCACAATAACAACTGCGTGACGTCATCCATCGCAAAAAAGTACAGATAGCCAAAAAAAAAATTAATAAAAAGTAAATATGCTAGGGTCATGGGTTTATGTGTAATAGCGAGGCGGCTGTTTATGACCATAACTGTATATTTCTAATAAATTAGTTTTGTATGGCTTATAAAAAACAATGATTACATACATAAGTAGATAAAAGTTATATTTACTAGCTGAATCACGCGACTATCTACGCGTAGAATAATTATTTTGAATATCAATTTTTGCAAACTCCTGTTTAACTCTTTAAATTCGAGCTGTTACTCACGACGTCATCCGCGTCCCGTCGTTCTTGCAAGTTAATCTTAAAAGATAGACTTAACCTGTCGTTAACTTTTTTTAGATAATTTAAAGACGAATAATTCTTTCTAACATATTTTTTGGGTATCTTGAACTGTTTGCACAGCGTTCGCAATGGAAACCTACAGGCATGAATAATTGTCACCGTTTTTTTCGGTATTACCCGCTGTTTCTTCGCTCCTATTTTGCAAACGATGGTGCGACGTCGACTACGTCACCAAGATGGCCGCCAATCGCAATATAAACTTGCGGTTCCCGCCTGTCATGACATTGACAATAGTATGATGATAAATAAATGAATCTCGATAGCTCGAACCTTGTTGGAAATCCTTTTTAAGTTGAAAAATACTATCTACTTACGCTGATCCCTTATTTCGTGATATTAATGTTAAATTTGTAACTCGAACTTATCAAAACTTAGTGTAGATAAGAGCATCTCTAATTGTAAAGAAAAACGCACAATCTGGAAAAATCTCTTTGTGTGTTGGCAATCATCAATCAAACACCTGTTAGTAGAAAAAAAAAATACACATGTGAAATTGTTGCATTATTTTTTTTTAATTTGTTCTTCTTGGTGTTATTGGTTCCCAATTTATAATAATTTCTGCTTGCAGTGTAAGCGTGTAAAGTGTACTCTGTGATACACAAATCATTGTTCACGTTGAGTTTGTAAAATGACAGCTGACAGTTCTGCACATTTGACAGATGTCGTGTGTGGACCCCCCTCCCCCCTTGGGCCCCCAAGGGGGGAAACCCGGGGGGGGACCCCCCCAAAAAATAACATTTCAATAGGCACGTCTTAAAAACATTGGTACAAACTCGTGAAGTGAAATCTAGATGTCACTGTCCTAAATAGAGAAGCAATAGTAGCGTTTTGCATATTAGGTCATTCCCAGTGGCAAAATGCCAACAAGCCCGGAGTTATCTCCCTCTTGTCTTTCGACCTAAGCATTCTATTGTGGAACATCCGAAAGGAATTTAATATGTTTCGTAAACAATTAAATTCCTTTCGGCTGGGAGATAAGTTTTAATTTTGTAACTGTAACCTTTAATACTGTGTAAAATTTTAACAAAAAAAAATTTAAAAGAATATTTACTAAATTAAAAGTCGATTATAATTTGAAAAAAATTTACGACTAGGGCAGGACTTGAATCTGCATCGTCCGCGTTCCGTGCTGTTGTTATAATCAATTGAGCTACCGAGTCCTACACGTCATCGTCGTTTTTTTTTCAACCTATTGATAAATGCACCTCTCGCACAATATAATAGAATATTTACTTATAAAAATCAAAACTAATCCTTGGACACTTTGAGGAGTTGTTACAAATAAAATATTACCTAACAAATGAGCTCTAAAATGCACGATGTCTCGCAAAGTGACCTCTTCATTCCTGTACATGATCTGAAATGCCCTGGAAGCAGCCAGGCCTCCAATAAGGGAGGCGTTGGCTGCCGGTCTTCCAGTCCTCGCTGCACCATTGCCACTTGACACGGAAGCCTCAATGTGAACCGGTACCTTGGGCGACACGCGTAACCCGATTCGCACTTGGTACAATCTGTAAAAATATATATATTTGTTTATTTATTTCACAATTCGGCACACAGAAACAAAACCGGTACAGAATGCAATTTCACATCTATAGAGTGTACCGGGCGGCCTTTTGAACCTATTAGCGATCTTTCTGACAACCCGAGAAGAAAGAAACTTAATAATTAAAACTAGATAATGTGCAATAAGTGCAAACCTCACCAATTACTTATTAGACTAATTTTGTTAATTATTTGAAAAAAATGACTGTTTAAGACAAAATTAAGATAGTCGAAATGTAGAATTTGACTAGCGGGATCAAGACTACCCACATTATCTAAAATAACCTCGACGAACGAAAACATTATGTATAAAAGCCAGATGATGGTTATAATAACTAATTTTCAGTCCAAAAACTATTTTTAATCACAATTATATTTACTTGTTTTATTCATGTGATAAAAAAAGTTAAAAATGTTTTTTATATATGAACTTGAACCGAATGAGCTGAAAAACTTCCTCTTAGCAACATTTAACAATAGATTTCCGGTGAACTGTTTCAAGTATTCAAAGACGTGAGCATTTGGCATGCTCTTTGAGATTATAACGTGATATCTAAATGAAATGTAACGCGATAAAAGAATTCTTGGCAATTCGTTTTGAACGGTGTAAGCTTGTCTTGCACGCCTGGTATTTTCTTTGAGGCCTAAGCTGGCATGGAATTATTTATTATATCACCCAGTGATCAAGAGCGATTATGTAAAGTTATCTTTTATTTACACTTAAACTATTTACTTTTCTACCTGTCGCGCGCCACTAAGACTTCTATTGTAATCGTAAAGCATCCAACACGACGGGTCGTATTAAAAAGAAACTTTACCACATACGTTTTCGAAGCATTTAAAAATGTCATGGTGGCAAATTTAATAATTATATTCATGTTGTTCTCTTTTATAACTTGATTCAACATATGATATAAAAAATTAAAACCAATTCTCAAAGTTGACTCTGTGACTTGTTAATTTTTCCTTTCAAATAAAATACTTAAACGGTATAAAACGCAAAATATATTAGTTGATCTGGCTTTGCAGCAGCCGTAAATAAAAATTTTGTAAAAAAAATTAATTAATATATTCCGCGTTTTACATCATTAAAGTGTTTTATTTAAATGTATGATATAAACTATTTTATATTATATTTTCCCTTAAAGGAAACGTGATATATTTTGATATTTCTTTTTCAAAATGAAAATGCGATTTGAAAAAGAAGTATCAATTTTATTTAGAGATAACGAGAATTTTTTTTAAAGCCACCTCCATTATGTTTATGGTAACACAGTGCGGTCTGAAAATATTGATGCAGCTGCAGAGCTTTTGTTCCGAGGACTAAAACAATGAGCACCGGAGGAATAGCGGTGAGAGATGAAGAGGACATTGCGCTATTATTACTGGTTCTATCGGGAAATTGCATTTTTATAAAATACTGTTACACTTTTTCAGATGACGTAAAAACTGAAAAAAATAAATGTTTAAATTTAAACATTTATATTTTTTTAATTTCGTTTTATGTGCAGGTGAGATCTAAAACTAAAACAATAGTAATACTTAGTATTGTAAAAACTTATTATAGCTGTAGTGTTATTGTAAATCTCCATTTTCAAGGTTGCCTGGAAGAAATCGCTTTTTAGGCCGCATTTTCTCGCTTCATTTTGTTAATTTTTAATTAAGTTTATTTTGTAACATTGTGGTGAAAATAAAGTATATTTTGTTTTTGTTTGTTTGTATTTTATGACATTGAATTGTATAGTAAAGTTAGTTTTAAGCGCAAATATTTATTTTCTTAAAAATAGCTGTCTGAGTTGTACATACGGTAAGCATTTATTTGCTTCTTTTACGGATTAGTTTTGTGATTCGGTAATTAAGTTCTATTTAATTTTTCTCCGGCATTCAAACCCAGGACATCGCTGAATGCATTAGCAAAACGTTTACAGTTGCAGGTATTTCTTTAGACCGCGTAGGATAGAAGATGTACCTACGAATAAACAATTAGTTGCTAATAGACAAGTACCCACTTTTTGTATGCACAATAATAGCGCGGAAGTAGAGAAATAGGTCATGTCAAGAAACCTGCTAGGAGTAAATATTAAAAGCTCTTATGCGAATATCGTACGAGTTGGAGCCACCATTGTTTCAACAGCACAGGTCATCAACACTAGTACTTGGCGGAAATACTATGCGGCAGGCGTATGTTTGTTTACTCAAAAATAAAACAAGCGAAAAACAGTAATAAAGTTGTTTGGAGCATAGACTATTTAAAAATAGACAATTTAAAAAGAAAAAAACAATATGGCGGAATGTACATCCAGGATTTACATCTACGCTTCTTATAGAGAAATTTGTTGTAATTGGGTCACGTAATTTTTGACTAAATTGCAGTGTTAATAAATAATTAAATGCAACTAATCGTTGTGGAAAAAACCGTGGCCTAGATATTAAACAACTTAATAACAAATGTTAATCTTGCGTAAATATATTCAAATAATAAAAAGGCATTCCAAATGTAGAGAAGTTATTTTTTTTTTTTAATCATAGACTATGGACCCTTAATTACATAATATGTAAAACCATAAAACATCAAATCTCTCACATCTACACGAATACAATAATAATCGGTTTCCCTAAATATTTATGATTGTTGCGGGCGTTTCGCCAACCTTAATTTGATTACGACATAATGGCGTAAATTTGTAAGTTTTTATTTGCTGCTAACCAAAAACCGTTCAAAATAATACAGTACTTAATACTTTTACAGTACATACCCTAAAATATGAAGGATTAATTTATTTTTATTTTAAAACAGAATTTCGACTAACGAATGCGTATTAGTACTCGTAAATTCGTAAAAATTGTTAATTGAATAAGGAAATTTTGTTGTGTTAAAATTATTCAATGTTAAAGTTGTTTTATTTGAATGTGTGAGATAAACATATAAAATCTTTGAATTCAATTTAGAACCGAAAATTATATATTTACTATTAAATGATATTTGAGTTAATAAAAAAACTGTAATTCAGTTTCGGTTCAAATTAGAGCCATAACTACTAGTGTCATAAATACCATTAGTGTCACTTCATTTATTGTTATGTTTCAAAATGTCTGCCCTATGTTGAGATGTATTTATATACCTACCGACTCCCACAAATCAATTCAATGAGTCAATTGGTTAGTAGCAACAGCACTGAACGCTGACGATGCCGGTTCAAGTCCTACCCGAGTTTAAATTTTTTTTTAATTTATTTTCGATATTTATACTTAGTGCCAACATGTGCGATACCATGTAAAAATATTAAAGTTTTTAAATATTATTATATACTGTTATCACCTCAAAGAAACTATTTTATGATAGTTGTATGCTTATAACGATATATTTAGGTTAAAATTTTGGTGAAAATGAATTTGTGTTGACTAAGAATAGTTCGCGTGGGCACATCGCGGAAAACGGAAAATAATCTTAAATATGACATGTGTATTTAAGTGTATATTGTACTTTTAAATTGTAAAAATCAATAATACTACTCTATAAATTGTATATTTCTATAAGTAATAAGTTACAGCAGTAGCAGTTTATAGTTATGTATGTAAATATTAACAAACACTTTCAAATTTTCAGTAACTAACTTGTATCATTCTCCAAATATGCCGTAAAGTCATCTAGCGGTATATAAATAAAATATTTTAATAACTTTTTATTAAATTTCCTTTTTAAATCATAGTACTTCTACATATATTTATTAATATAAAACAATTTTATGCTATATTAATCTATTTAGATACGTTTTATTTCTTTTAAGAATGTATCTATAAATATTTCTTCCATGGAATGTATTTCTCAAATCTTTATTAGTACAAAATGTTTTGAACTGACATAAAAAACAAATGAAGTATACTTAATGTATCCAGTGCGATCGATCATATAATAGTTATTAGCACTTGATTAGCTATCAAGGTGGAGGAAATACCATTTTACTGTTTACCTTGATTGTTTGTATAGTAATTCATTAGGGCATATTAAATACAGGTTATAAAAAATATTTTTTTACGGAAATAATAAAAAAAATATTTGTTTGCGAATTTAACAAATAAAATTTAATGTCTGTGGTTATATAAACTATACATTCTATTTTCTCTTCATATTAAATTATATGGGATCCGTCTTCTAAGTTTGCCTCATTCGAGTAACTTCTGTCCCAATAGACAGTCCTCATAATAATATAATAGTTGCTAATCTAACATGACGTATTCGGTACTCTAATCGTTATTAATAACTACGCAATACTATTTCTAACTGTCACAATAATGATGTTTACATGGTATCTTAAAAAACTTAATGCCAGAAACTTTAGTCAGGCTTTAATAACGAAAAGAGGGATTTTCTTGGAAAGCGATGAAGTATCACATTCCCAAAGCCCAGCCCCAAAATTGAGATGTGCCGTCGACCTGCTTCGGTTTTCAACATTCAGTAATCCAAGGACTGGACAAAACGCAGATTGTTGATTAATAGACAGGGTCTAATATATTAAAAAAAAAAATTTTAGAGACACATTAAACCCGAAAGCATTGGAAATATTGGAAATATTAAATAAAATACAGGTCATACAGGCCATTCTATTATTATTATGAGAACTGTTGTACATGTCCTTCATCAATTTTTACTTTTCCAATTTCATATTGTTTTATGTTTATTAATATAGCTAAGATCTAAGTGTAATTCACTATAATTTTCTTTCGGTTACAGAATGATTGCCTTAAAAGAGCTCGCAGTAACCACGTAATGTATTTTTCCACGCGAATTGGAATGCCCTAGTTCTGAAGACCTGCAAGGAATTAGCTTCAAAAGCTTGATTGCTTTGAGCTTACGTTACCACTAATTAAACTGTGTCGTTTTCAAATGGACTTGGATTTATTACGAATTATAGTAGTGAAGTTTCGCTGGCAGATATCCTTATCAATTCTTATCACTCGTGGGTTTATCTTGATAGTCAGATGCTGTCAATCGAGCTAAACTTACCCTCGCTGGAAAAGATCGACATTGTAGAATTTGTACAGTTCAACGGAGAACTCGAAGGTAGCCTGCAAGTCGGTCATGGTGTGTGGGGGGGGGCGCGGGGCGCCATGCCGCCGCCGTCAGCTAGGCTGGGCCCACGGCTGGGCGCAGCCCGGGGAACATGGTGATCACTGCATCCACACACGACCACACCCCACGAACACTTGCGACCCGGGTTAGGTATCAACCACGCACCACTGACGTACCTCGAACAGTGCGGGAGATTTTATTTCGCGACGGGAGTACGCATGCGCGCGGGTCGCGCCGCCGCGTTACTGTAGTCCGCAGCAGTACGCGAGACCAGCGCACCTAGACAGGTGCGTTGGCAGTATAGCACTGACACCAGATTGTGGTAAAGGTCACAGGGCACCACTGTTGTATGAAAAGCTAAAGCCGCTACTTGATATTAAAAAAATCCTATTCATTTAGTCACGAGAAAATTTATTTACGAATCTTCATTACTTATCAACACAGCGTAAAGTCGCGTGAGCTGTTTGGTATATTTTAAACGCCTTTTATACGTGTTTTAGCAAATGCCTCGATTCTCAGCTTCATGTAAATATCGACGGGTTCATCGGTGTAATAATAGCAATGTATGGCTAAGAAATGGCTCGCGGGTTCGATTCCCAGCGGTTCTAGCATTTTTCAAATTAATTTATATTTCTTCTGAAACAGGAATATTAAATAGGTGGTAATAATATCGAAATTTCATCCGGGTTACGAACCACCGTCCACAGATGAAAAAGCCGTGAAGTTTAATTGCGTTTCGTTTTCAGTCTGTGGTGGATAGCGCATTAAGTTTAGCGTATGGCAGGAGTGTTTCACCTTCTATGAAATGAACTTGTCTGTCTTCCTCGGTCATAAAAAACGTCTGCGCCTATTGAACGATCTAACATTGCGTTTCGTATGTTTTCTTAAATTATAATATGAATAGAATAAAATATGTGTAATTATTAACATTTATAAAACGAAATAATAAAATGACGAAAATCATTGAAGCTGAAAATTTTAAGCCCCTTTATTCGCTAAAACTACATTAATGCTGGTGTTGCCATTTTCCAGAGTAATTTGGGGCAACACTGGCCGAATGCTTTATGAGCAAGAAAGTTCACGGCTCTATTGTCGATTGTTATTAAAACGAAATGTCAAGAGGTGTCTTTAAGCCGCTTGCTGAACACAGCTTTTGTGGAAATCGACAGTGAAAAAAATATTATAAACTTCTCTGGCATCGTAAGAAAATTTCGTTAGTAAAATAAGATTTGAAGAATAATTGAAGAACTAAAAAAAATTGCCAACCCGGCTTCCACAACCATCCGTATCGATTACACTATCTAATTATAAATAATACCAAAAAAGTAACTAGGAAAAACTCAAATTTTTAAAAAACAATTTTTGTTCGTTCGTTTGTGTTTAGACCATATGTATATGTATATCAATAGGTTTAGTCTTGAGGAAGTTATTAGTTATTACTAAGAAGTAATTGTTTGGCTTCAGTCTGATTAAAAGGTCGTTAGCTTCAAATACAGTGTTCTCATTAAATCGTTCTCCGACCGTTGTACCATGTATGTAGTTACGTCAGATTGGTTTCAGGATTTCAGGATTTGCTGTAAGGTATAAGGTCAGGGTTCAAAGGTCAGCGTTTAAATTTAGAATCAGATAACTTCTAACGCTGAAATCCTAAAATAACTTCTCTAATTTGAATTTTCTTTGAGTCTAGAGGGAGACCAATATTGGCATAAGACTTAATTTATTTTACTAATATAGTTGAAAAAATAACGCAAACAGCAAAAGCGATGTTTGCAAAATGTGAGTTTTGAACTTTCAATACCCACTCAGCGTGTTGGCAGACGTTTGTGGAACTTCTATTATGAACTCTGGATGGTATATTGTTGATAGTTCCAACTTAAAAGCTAAATGTAAAAGATGACTGTTTAAACCACAAAATTTAAGTAATTTACAAATTATTTTAAACACGTCCCAACGTTCGGCTGCTTTGCAGCAGCTAGATGGTTGGTATGACGTCACGCACTCATTCGAAACAAACAAGAAAAATTAATTATAGAAAAATAAAATAAAAATCGATAGATGTTACAGTAACGATAAAGATATTGTTTTCTTTAAGTATTAAACTATTAAGTAAAAAATACATACGATATAAATATAAAGTTTTATTAAACGGGAGGTAGGGATATCAAAATGTCGTCTAGGTCGCGGACCACAGCGCACAGATGGTAAAGTCTTTCAGGTTTCAGTGTGGACTCCTGCATGTTCGACACCAAAATGGGGCGAGAGCGCATCTTGTTTAGATGTTACGAATATGGCTGGGGTATTTCTCCTGAGTGAGAGACACAAATTACGCGTTTCGCGTTTTTGACAAAAACAAAAACTGTCTATAGTTTTCGCGAGTTGTTATTTTTTTAAAAAAAATTGTTTTAAAAGTTTTTTTTTTTTTTTTTTTTTTTTTTTTTTTTTTTTTTTTCCCCCCGGGGCCCGGGGGGGGTTTTTTTTTTTTTTTTTTTTTTTTTTTTTTTTTTTTTTTTTTTTTTAAATTAAATCAATGTTTAGATGTAGTGGTTTCCGGGGTTAAACCACAATAGATATATATCCCATATTGTGGTTTAAACCGTTTATTCAATAGACACGTACTCTTGTGATTTTTTTTATTTATGTCATTATATTGAACCGACGTTTTTAAATGAATAAAGAATCTATTTATGACATTAAATGTATTAAAATGATATCCTTAATTCTTCGGTTTTTTTACCGCAACTATAATTTTTAAAGTAGCCTTATTGAAGCAAGTTTGCATAAAGCTTTGTTACAAATTAAATATAGGTAATAGCAATATTATTATTTAACATTACGCTTTACATATACGCTTTGATTAGAGCGTTTAGTCTAGTAGTATGCGCCTTTTGTTTGTGAGCCCCGGTTTTTTATCTATTTTGTATACAAAAAACTATTATTCAATATTATTAACACGTTTTTTATCGATGTAATGGTTTTTCTATATCAGATGCTCGCATATACAAAAGGAAAATATCAACCAATTTATAACTAATTTAAAATTAACAATTGTTGAGTTGCTAGTCCTGCACCATAAGTATTATCTTTCTCTACACTCTGTCACGTACGAGCGAAGTCTGGATGCAATAAAAAAATCTAGTTAAGATGACAAGGGCGGGACTTGAACCGGCATCCACAGTGTTCCGTGCCGCTACTCTAACCAATTGTGCTACCTTGTGTATTGCAGTTGATCAGACTCCTATGCTAAACGAAATAATTACTTATTATCCTGCGATACAAATCCGCGAGTAGTACACATTTAAAAACACTTTAACGGTTTAAAACGCGATATATAAACTTATTTGAAAATAATTTTACCTACGGCCCGACGCTTCGGATACTGGTCTGGTGATACATGGTCACAGGGGGACTGAAGATGGAGGGTGTCTCTGACGTCAAAGTAAAAACTGTTTAAGTTTGCGTTTAAAACCGTTAAAGTGTTTTATTTAAGCAAGTAATAGGTTTAATAAGTGGAAGTAACCTAGTCTTGCTATACAACGTATAAATAGGTTCAAATTCATCCAATAACCGCCTTGAACGTAAATCCATTGAATTTGAAAGCAAAACGTGTGAAAGAGGTTTTTCCAGAGCCCTGTACTATTCAGCAGAATATCGTAGTTGGGGCGTGCATTATGGAAGTGCACGAGTGTTGGAGCTTTTGCCTTTTTAGGTTAAGCTTGTGATTATACCTTGCACGTTGCTAGCGCCGGGACATCGATTGCTTGCGCGGTTTTTCTACCTAGTATCGTTAGTGTTTTTATCTTGGTTTTCGAAGTGCTAAAAGTATGCCTGTTCTAATTTAAATTATATTGACAATTAATAGGTTTAGTTAGATACGAATTTAAGTTATGTGTCATCTGGCTTTAATTTATTTAAAATGCCGATTCTAGTCCTCCTTTGTCGGGTGTAGAACCTAGTACTTCTCTATCTTAACGTATTAACGTAATATCTGTTAAGTTAAAATTCAAGAGTTGGCTATCGTTCATACCTAAAAGATGACCATGGTTTAAAAATTCTGTCTGGTTTATAACGGTCTAAACCTCCCCGCGACCACGACTGCTACATAACCTACGAAACGTTGGGAACTTTAAAGAAGCTAATATATTTTCCGTTTAAAAAGGTTTTACTTAAAAGATGCTATCAAACACACTATACACAAACGTATCCTGCATAGCATGTGAAACGTCGGACCGTTAATATAATTCGTTATAAATAAGTTGTCTAATACATTAAATTATAATAAGAAATTTATTTTTGTTATTATATTTTATTATTGACTTTTAATATTGTCTATTCCCGCTAATTGATGTGGTCGGCATTTTTAATATTTATAGCTTTGCACGAAATCTGAACTACATCCAGCCACGCAACCGCAGCATTATATCTATACTAATATTATAAAGCTGAAGAGGTGTTTTGTTTGAACGATCTTAGGAACTACTGAGTCGAACTGAATAATTCTTTTTAAAATATTACTTTTCTACGCGGCCGAAGTCGCAGGCACAGCTAGTTAATAGATAAAAAAGCTTTGAGGGCGTTTATCATTTGTGTCGTGTATTAGCCACGACCCCGCTACGAAGTGCTACGACGCAGTTTAAATTCTCGCCTACGAAAAACGGCATACACAAACGAGGTGATTTAAAATGTAAAGGTCAAACATAAGGGTTCATTGTGTCGCGAGGAGCGAGCTCCGTTCGTTAATGTCGACAAAAATAATTACATCTATGTACTGTGACGGTATGTGGGCGATAAAGTCATTTTTTTACGTTAGAAGAGGAAACACAAGCATGTAGTTTATATAAGATCTAAATAAGATGTGCTCTAAACCTGTTATGGCCTTGGATATACGGATTATTAAATTGTTTGTATTGAGGATAAAGGTTTATAATTTGTAATCATTTTATATGAAATATCATATATAAAAAAAAATTGTAACTAAGTGGCTTGTGGTAACATTATTTTTTTTCTTTATAACGGGTATGCATTACAAACAGGTGTTCAAACAACGAACAAACCCTCCCTTTTTATCTCTTACTCAATACCTGTTTCTGTCTTAGGTCGTAGACTTGCCAATTTCCGAAGCTTAGTTAAGTCGATAGCGTATAGCGAATTAGAAGTGAGGATGTCTGTCAAGTGGATACTTGTCTTTCCATCTCAGTTATAAAGAAACCTAGTTATATTTCATACTAATATATAAAAATTGGCATGTTATAAAATTGCAATTTATTTTCCTACTAGCGTAAAACTCGCCATATCAAAACGAAATTGACGCGATCCAAACTAATTTTATTCGAAGGGAACCAGACGGAAAGATATCGAATTGGACGTTGCATACCCGGCAACCTCTACAAATCGATTTGTTTGGGAGGGTAGGCAGAGATTGCATGTGCTCAGGAAATTATAGACGAGCCGGTTCGATTTGTGCAAACTACAGCTATCGTTTCGTTATATTGTTACTGACAGCGTTAGGTTTTGCTAATATTATTCGATGTTCAGACAGCCTTCACATTTTTACTAAGAAACAGCGAAGCACTGTGAATGGTGTTTTTGATAAATGTATTTATAAAAAAACGCTTTAAACTGTTTAAAACGCGAAATGTATTAGTTACAATTTCTTTTAACTACGGCCTGACGTTTCGGACGCGTTTTTGAAGCGTCCATTGTCACGGGGGGACTGAAGATGTGTATACCATATTCGTAAACAATAGGAAGTACTTAAGTATGTCTTGGTAAAAAAATAGACATAGGTTATTGAAAATGTTTTACATACCATAAATAAAAGCATGTCTTATAGTACACAGTAATTTACAGTAACTAAGTACACTTATTCTTTATTACGTATATAGATGAGGGCAAACGGATATTCGGAATTTCATAGACCTTTTTTCATCTATGGACGGTGTGTACTATCACTACATCAGCGAGACCTTCAGTATATTTTGAGCGACACCAGATGAATCAAAAATTAATATCTGCCTTCCAACCCTACGTCGGGTAGGGCGACAATATTAAACGCGCCCTTTCAATATGCACACGGATTGTAAATAGAAATTTTCAGGTGCGGAAATTAATATTATGATATTTGCCTGAGGCAAGCCAAGCACTCAAGTTTCCAATATTTACATCACTACTTCATCCAAAAATTCATTAATATATTGAGTTACCTCGTCTTAATCCTAGTAATTTAACATTATGACTGTTTTGTTGTTTTTGTTTTCGTACTAACTGATGTGTTTTCCTTTCATTGTATTATGTGTCTGTAATGTATCTTTCCATTATCTGTAAAACTGTAAAGGGGAATTTATAGAGATTATTGTATTGTCTTATTCGTTCTGATTATTATTTTTTTCTTTTTTCACACTCTCCCCTTTTACTTTTATAGAGATTTTTGTTGGGTTTGTTGTGAAATTAATTTCGTATTTAATACTGTCTGTAGTTTACGCGAGTACGAAATAAAACACTTAAACGGTTTAAAACGCGCAATATATTATTTTAACTACGGTCCGACGTTTTGGATGCTGTGCAGCAGCTGTGGTCACATGATCTCTCTATGACCACGGCTGCTAACCACTAATTATTATAATATTACCTTACTGTTTATTATGGTATTATACAGATAAGCCACTGGTAATAGCGTTGATTACCGCCGGACGATCTTCGTAAAACATTTCAGGTTTTTCTAAATATGTATTATACAGTATCGTCTGAACTTTTAAGATTAACGAAATTACAGTTACCACCGTCCGAAATGAAAAAATGCTTTTCGTTTCAACTTCGGTTATAAAATTTCCAAGGTCAAAATAGGTCAAAATCTCATCTTAAATGTGCTAAGGCTTTCTCCTTTTATCAGTGACCTCAAGCTGAAAGTTTCTCTGTCCAAAAAAAACTATACTCACAACAATAAGCAACTAACTAGCAACAATGCAATTCCGTGCATTTAAAAATAAAACGTACTTAACGTGTATTAAAATCAGCAACTCGAGCACTCGCAGAGAAACTCAGCAACAAATGGAAAATGAAATCTCCACAAAGTAACGTATTTAGACGTCGCCGGAAACGAGTCGGATTGAGGCGGCACCACGATAAATAGAACTTCCCGTTGCAAATGAGATTTATATGTTGCGGATTCGCTACCAGTGTAATGTCAATTTATTTATATACCACGACCTTTTCTGCCTACGATCGAGTTTTGAACTCATGTATACTCTACCTCGTTAGTCTAGTGGTTAGTACGCTCGCGAGTTCTCCAGTTCAAATACCAAATAGAAATTTTTCTATTAGTAGTTTGAAAATTTTGTCTGTAGTTTACGCGAGTAGATTATTGGTTATTTTTAAACCAATTAAAAAAAACCAACGGTTTAATGTTTAAAACGCGATATTATTTAATGATTATATTTTAACCACGGCCCGATGCTTCGGATGATTTGCGGCAATCTCCCCGTGACACGGCTGCTATCGCGTTTTAAACCGTTAATGTGTTTTATTTAAATAGTTTGTATAAATAATATAATAGAGTGTTGTGTGTATTCTACTGTAGGTACTTCTATTAAGAAAATCAAAGTCACAGACAGGATTCACATCCACAGCTTACCAAAACACATTAGCTCATTTGCAAGTCTTACCTTAAAGTAATTAAGTACACGAAATAAAACGAGTCATGAAAAGATTTATTTTTTATTTTTCTTACAACTATTTTTACAGAAGACAACTTGTACTTACATTAAGTTTGACTATGGACGGATGTCCGTTGAGCCGATGGCTCATTTAATAGGGTTGCCAAAAGTACTATAATAGTAGTATTGTACTATAATTTGAATCTGCGTACTATATAATGTTCTAGATACATTACTAAGTGTTATTTTATTATTTTCTATATGTAAGTGCTATATTTTTAAGAGTTGTCATATATTTTGCTGAAGGAATGTTGGCAACCCTATTTGGTAACAAGATCAAAAGGCAGTGACTGTTACAACTTAACTATGTTTTTTTGATTCCCACTTTTACGTACTCATATATACCTAACTATGTATATATTCTACCCATCACTATTTTATACATATACAAGGAATTGCAGATCTCGACTAATTAGAGAAAAAGAGGACGGAATGGAATTTAAAATACAACCTTTTATAAAAAATTAGAAAAATGTTAATTATATATAACAGTTTAAGTCGGTAATTTAATCAAATATAAATAAATAACAGTCATTTACAATCTGTTCGGATTATTGGAACAAATTGTAAGACATACTGACCGACGAACGATTCTGTATTTCGTATTACATCTAGCACACTACAAGTATATCACAAACAACAATTTCATTTAGACGACGATGAGAGACACGATAAGATTGGCTTCGGGGAACATAAAAATATATACGGCTGTGCTAAAAATCTTTCAAAAGGATTCTTCTTTATGGGTTTAAAGGTTAGAGAAATAAAGTATATTGCTGTTTTCTTTAAATGTGTACTACTCGCGTAAACTATAGACAGTATTTATATTGCTTTTTTCTTGTGATAGAGGAGGACATAAAATTCACTTGATGAAATGCCCCAGTCTTATAACAACAGGATGCGTTGTTGTTGTCGAGATATTCGAAATCCACAGACTATCTCAACTAAATTGTCATTATAAAACAATTTGATAACGATAGAATAAAAGATACTCAATCAGTTCCCATCGTGTCCCACAACTATCAGATCTCATCAATCAGACCGTACTTCGCAAATGAAGAAGGTCTCAAACGAGCAAGGAGAATCGTTCCACTTGAGACCTTTGTCATCTCTGTTCCACAGCTCCAAGCAGTTCTCTTCTTCGCCGTTCTCATAACGGAAGTTGTTTGGTTCGCCTGCGTTCCAGTTCACGAATGTCAGGGGCCGACCGTTCGCCATCCAGAAGAAGTTCCCCTCTTCGGCCAGATCGGTTCCAGACGTCCAGAAGTGTTCTCGGCCGTAACCTGAAGTTAAAATATTTTTTTTAAACCACGCATAATTGTGCGTCTTATCTTTTATGATATGAAATAACCACAGAATGTATTTAATACAACTAACACCATATAAACGAATATTTGTAGAAAGCTTAGATGTTGGTTACTCTAAATGGCCTGACCAAATTTAGTACGTTATAAACAAGCTAAATAAAATTTTACGCTTCAATCTGTTTATGTATCTACTGGTAAACTGTTTACGATTAGACACGATTTATGATATAGGTCTATCTGTAGGCGAGCTGTAAAACCATTTACAGTTAATGTATATAAAATGGATTAGTCTTCGGCTTTAATTAGCTGTAATTAAATAATTTTAACATTCAGGAATTCACTTGTAAATAAAGCTTCAACAACAATGGCTTGCAGCGTTAGCATACATAACTGCGCCATTAAAATTCCTTTGTACTAGAATAATAATTAAGTACAACTGAGTCATTAACAGCTGCAGAAAAAAGTTACTTAAGTATTTACCGGATTCTCTGACGTATTTCTCTAGCCTGTCGTTCTCTTCTTGTGAAGATATGGAAGCGAGGTGCATTCCGTGGAATCTGCAGTACTGTTGCGCTTTGAACCAGTTTGCCTGGAATGAAAATAAAAAAAATTATAGCATTCCTTACACTTATCCACTTAATAAGTCTTTCTCTTTTTCTCTTGTCCTGTACTACAGGTTGTCTGGAAGAGATCACTGTTTAGGGATACGGCGGACTGTTTTTTATAAGTTAGTACGTAAGGTTTTTTTCTCTTTTATATATTCTTTTTGTTTTGTGGTGTGTTATGAATAATAAAGCTATAATCATTTAAAAAAAATATTGTTTAGGTACAAACCTATACACAGCAAAGGTTCCTAAGAAATGTCAATTAGCAATACATACGTAAAACTCTGATGATGGAAGATTATTTTTTTAATTTTATGGTCAACATTTTTTTTTGTTTTAGTACAAAAAAGGAAAAATAGCATATATTTCCCGCAACATTACTTTTGATGGATCAAAATGTCTATAAAGGTAAAAATACCTAATTTAAAAGGGAAAGTATTTGACAATTACAGTCCAACTATAACAACTTCCGCATTGTATACGACGTATATGTTAGAGTGATAACATTGTTTATTTTTTATTTGAATGTCATTAAAGTATCCTATTATCAAGACCTACTTTCCCCACAATTGCAGAAGATTAGTTTTCGTCATTAAAACGTGTCGCTGACGGTCTAGCATGCAAGTTACGACATTCATGAGTGTAGATAAATTTTACTCGTATAAATTGGTTAGAGATGATAAGGAAGCATCGATGTTTTAAGAGACAAGCTATGCGGACAGGAAATGAAGATCTGGATAAAGGGAACCCTCGTTTATTGACTGATCTCGTGGTCTTTAACCGGTATTTCTAATAGAAAGTATATAATATATGTTTACATCCACTGAATGTTGGTTACTAATAAAAAAAGGATGGTATAAACATCGTCATTCCGTCTACAGACAGAAAAACCTGTACTGTAAAAAAAAAAAAAAGGCAAGATTTAAAAGACCTGCTGACTCCATTGTGGTGTCAGAAAATAAATATTGTCAAAAAAATTACCAGCGTTACAGTGACAGACATGCGAGACGAAAGAACGATCGGACGGAATGGAAGAACAAGAATATCTCGAAGCGTGCATGCTAGGCCACCTGCTGAAGTGTCATTATAAACGAGTGATTATATAATACAAGATGTATTGTAATTGCTATGCTAAAATGTTTATTTAGCACTGATAGATCAATACTATAAATGCCAATATGTGCATGTTATTTTAAAGTGTATGTAAGTGTTATTTTTAATATGCAGTTATAAACTTAATCTATTTCATGACTACAGTATTTAAGTTAAAGTTAAAGAAAATATTCATGCATTATTTGTTGTTTATAAATTGTATAATTATTTTCTCTAAATTACATACTTGTATATTTATAATTCTAATCTTTTTGTATAGAAAAATAAAGAGTTAATTCAACGTTAAGAGGTGGTAAAAAAAATTCTGATAAGAGAAATGTTATTTATTCTAGTTTTTAATATTTATGCATTTTTTATTACATTTTTTTTCTCATGGAATACAATTATGACAAAGTCCATTTAGTTTCCGTTATTTTCCGTGAGTGGACAATAAAATAAACAAACTAGTTTGAAAAGATAAAACAGCGAAAATATTTATGTTTAAAAGAGTTTTTTAGCTATTTATTTGATATTAGGTCATTGTCCTGTAAAATACTTGATTAAATTATAATATATTATATGCTTTGAAATATTCGATTAAGCTATTTTTGCTATTTTCGATTAAGATCTAAAAATCAATATGCTTTGTTGATTCGTATGGTAACAAAAAATAATAGGTGGATATTAAAATGACATTTATAATTCAGCTAGTATAATGAAGGAGAATATTCGAAATCTAGTTTTTATGATTGGATCACTTGATAGAGTGAAATGGTCTTGCCGATATCTAAATAAGATGCGCTATCAATCTATTTTGGCTTTTGAAATTTGAAGTTTAATTCGCCATACGAAACAGGTATGAAATTGTGGTCAGTTTGAAATTTCCGCTACATTTTGCATTGCTCTCTCCATATTCCTTCCGGACCATTGGCGAGCGAGCTAATATTGCGGAAAGAACGTTCACTGGATGCAGTTTTAAATAAAATATAGACAATTTATTATATTTCATCTTTATATTTTCGTACATACTTCTGTTGTTAGAAAGAATGACCATATTTTGTTAAAATCTCATCAGATTTAATGACGAATATGATTAATGTTTGAAATTTGGATTATTATTATTTGGTTCAGAGAAAGAGTCGGCGAACAAATTTTCAAACATGTTAAGTATAAAGCTAGTGTTTTAAGCTAGTGATCCTTTTTCAAACATTCGTACTATAAATAAATAGGACACTAGAAATGTATTTATTTTTTTAAGTTTATTCTGCCCTTATCTAAACCTTAGTCCAATATTTATAAATCCACACTTCACACTTTTCTATTATATAGACTATAGTGTTTTTAATCTATTTAGTGTACGCACTATAACCTTGTTTTTAAGTAAAATTGCAAAAGTCTTTTAATAGCCAAGAAAAATTAGTTCAGAAAAAAAAACATGACAGATGTAATATTTTTTTTGCCAGCCAGTTTGCTTCGTTCCGATTATATCATAGACAGTTTATCAACACCATGTGCGCTGTGCACTATTGCTATGTAGGTTAACCGCCCATTGTTTCACTACAAACATTTAAGATCACAATTTTGTGGACAAGTCTAGTGCTTGCGACATCATTTCTACCCACATGATTGATAGAGCCGCCAATTTGGTATGAAAATCATGCAATACAAAATCATAATAACAATTATTATAGTCTATAGTCTAGACTTCGCACGGCATGAGAAACTTTAAGATGGATGACAGTGCTCATTTATAAATTATATCTTACGTAATCAAAATACAATATAATATGTACATTAAAAATAATATGGTATGAATTAAAATACAAATAATATGTTATTTAAAGTAATTGGTATGCATAGGGTTCAATAGAAAAGCCCAGAGACAAAAAAAAGTTTGTATTTAGATTTATATAAGTTGAAATAGCGCTTTTATCAAGTGAATTTCATCTTGTCTTAAAAATAATAAGAAACAAAAGAGGAACGTAACTAATCTATCTATCATAATAGTGAAATATATAAAAAAAGTAATTATTGTATCTCAACTTGGGTTTTTATTAGCTAGTCACGTGATTAAGAATAACCAAATAGCTATGTTGTTTGTAATGATCGACATGAATACAGGGTGTGGTTCAATGAATGATATTGTAAGAGAAAGCTTGCCATCGATCAACGGCGCGCCACGCGAGCACCACCGATGCGTTGCATTGCGTAATACAACTTCTGTGTATCTTGATTGCACATCGGTCACATCGTTATAACCTCATATCTGGAGATCCTGTGATATTAGTTGCCACTATTTTTTTGGCGAAACGTTTTTGAAATATAAAAACTAATTTTAAAGAGTTTTTATGGACATACTGTGTTCTAAGGTACGGAAGCCGGTTGTAATTAACGATGTATGTAAATAAGTTAAATAAATAAAAAAATAATTAGCCTACTTCTATATTCTACTATTACTACGTTATTGTTATGATTTTGTTAGATTTAGATGTCGAAAATATGTTTTTTTTTCGTATTATGTATTGTTGCTGTCTATAGTACCAACACTTGAAATGTGTCTATCCTAGTTGATGCACACAAATGCGGTGGCCATAATTAAATATAACTCTGGACTTTTTAGTTTCTCGTATTTTTAAGATATTTATTACAAAATACAAACAATAAATATAATATAATTACACCATATTTTGTCTATATATATTATATAAATTGTTTGATGACTTAATCTTAATACGAAATAACATCTAAATGCAAAAGTAGGGGATTCATCAATATAAGCAGATGATGATCACCCTTTTTCACTTTTTATCTCCATATAATATAACCAAAAAGGGTTTTTTATCAACAAATTACAGTTTGTGTTAATCCTTGTTTTAAACTAGCACGTATTGAGAGATTGATTCGCAATATTACGTAATTTCCAGAACCACTTCCATCAATGGACCCGTGACCCCAACGATACCGCATACCAGCACACGATGTACATACCCAGAAAATGGTGACCAAACTCTAGTAAACTACAACCATCAAACCAACATGTGACGGGCTCGTTGGTCTAACGGTAGCAATGTATGACTTCGATCCCCATTAGGTCCAACATGGTTCTAGCTTTTCAATTTATACCTGAAACATGATGGACTTCGTCTGGAATTTCCACCGTTCACAGATGAAAAAGCCGTGAAGTTTAATCGCGTTTCGGTATCAGTCTGTGGATTTCAGAATATCCAAAGCCAAAATAGGTCGACAGGGCATCATCTACCGTCAAGTAAACCCTATGCCATATCTGTCCTCCTTTATCACAAAAAAACAACCCCGTATAATATTTATCTCTATTTCGTTAACGCAAAATGAAATTTGGCTCGCCCGGCGGCAATTTGCTGCTAAACACATTAAATATAACACGAAAAGGCGCGAAATATTTTAAAACCGTTTCACGTTGTTTGCTGCAGTACGCTGCTATCATTTTCTGGTGTAATTAAGGCATTACATAGAAGCCTCACTAGTGCAATTGCGGTGAACGGACTCTAACACACTGTTTATTAACAGCACAACACTTACGAAACATTATCAGTATAATCAATGGCTTAGTAAACGCTTTTTTATGAAAGAAGAGGAGAGACAATAATAGGATTCATTTAAAGCAGTTTTAACGGTTTTGAAACCGAAATATAATATTTAGGTAAAATACCCAGCCATATAACATATACGATGAACTGCTTTTTTCTCTTTAGATATTCGGGTATTAAGTAATCATTTAAAAATATATTAAATTTTATTGTTATTCGTTCTATAACTTATTTGATAATAACAATCCGTCGTTCTTCCAGGGATGTGATGTTTTATCACATTAGTTCTATTGCTTCTTCCGAAAGTAGAATACATTTCTATCAACCTTAATTTTTCAACTCGTTAAACAAATTAAATTTTTAATGTCATATTGAACTTTGAATACAAAAAAGCAAAGTTTCAAATTTCTCGGCGAATCAATGAAAATGTCGTTTTGATTATTTATGAGAAGTTTTTAAAAGGCGTGCTATTCTGTAAATTTTTCTCGAAAAATTTATAATTAATTAAAAAAAACTGTTACGTAGCGGTCCGATGTCGTATTATTTAATTTCCTTTTTACTTTTATAAAGGATAATCAGTGCTTTTATAGCTAGATTTTATAATATTTTAAAATACGAACTACATAATCTCTGTAAATTTTTTAGTTCTATCGGCATATTTTTGTGTAAAGCTAAGTAGTTTCATCGTTTAAATGAAGTGTACTTAACCTCTTGAACTCGGCTTTAAAAGCGCAGTTGGAATCGTTCGACCTCTAGCGCGGAGATTAATATAAAAGTAATTTTATACTTTGTGTTTTGTATCTAGAACGCAATTAACTGCGTATTATTTTTAGTTCTGTTTTAAAAAAAAAAGTAGATATAGACATTTTTTGAAGACACAAACGTTTACTCGAAAGATTTTAAGAGGCCAAACTATTTAAGAAGATATCTTTTTCAGTTTGAACCCGTCGCTATTTGTGTATTAGGCATCGGACCCGTCAAAGAGAGTTAAAAGAATCAAAAATAGTTGCAAAGGAAAAATGATTTTTCGGACGGCCTCGAGATATCAAACATATGGATCCCATATTAATACCTCTAAATTCCAAAAAACATGTCGCATATCGGCATACGCGAAGACTCCGTTAATCGATTCTGCGAGGACCAGGCCAGTTTCGCCAAATACCAACTACGACGAAATAGATGGGGCTAGCGTAGCAGTTTTTAATTTGACATTAGAGTCACCAATTATCTTAATCTCCCCGTAACCACGACTGCTGCAAAGCATCCGAAACGTCGGGCCCTAGTTAATATAATTTGTAAAGAAGTTTAACTAATATATTTTGCGTTTCAAACCGTTAAGTGTTTTATTTAAATGTGTACTACTCGCGTATTATTCACAGAAACTAAATAATAAAGCCTTAAAATTATTTGCCATGATGAAAAAAATTGTACTTGCATATTTGAAAAGATGATTAATTCGAAAGCTCGCAGACAGGATGCTTTGAGGAGGTATTAAATTACACAGTTTAAATTTTTTTCGCTTGTGACTCACTATGGAAACATTTTTAAAACTATTTATTATTTAGTCTTTCAAATAATGTTATAAAGATCAAGTCCAATTAATTTATATTCAATTTTATAGTAGGTATCTAATCTTGAATCAATTTGTGGAATATCGATTTTCAATTAGGTAAAGAAAAAAAGGATATTTTTAAATATTAATATATTGAAGATATTTTAATATGTGTTTAATAAAAAATGATGGTGCCCATTGCGGTCACTTTGTGTCTATAGAAAACATTTTATCTCAATATAATACAACAATACTCAATATCAAAGCTCTTACTCTGTTTATTAATTCTCGTATATAAAAATCGGATAATAAAATTGGAATGGTTTGAAAGATCATTTCATTTCATTTTTATATTAGATTTAAATATTATTAACTTGTATGTTTAAACTTTATTTGCATGTCGTGTCTTCATATTTATAAGCTTAATTTTTAAGATGTTTTCTTTATAGGTATTATGCTATTATAACCATGGCTGTAAATTAAAAATTACTATTGTAACCACTTACATAAAAAAAACGAAAAGTGGATACTTAGCGCTCTATGATAAATTCATGTCTATCGAAATATTATTTTCTTTATCAATAATTAGATGGTTATAAAATTAGGTCTAAAAGACGCAAGGAGGAAATGGCAATTTACCCAAAATGAAATCATAATTACCTTAAAGAATATTCCTAAGTAGTATCTCTTATCTCCACTCTTAAGTAACGGCATGGTCCACCGTGTAACACCGAGATCATCTTCACTGCAGCTCGAACAATCTGTAAGGTAAGCATAATTGATAATATTTTGCTTTAGAAGTTTAATATATTTGAAAACTTTAATATTATTCTCATGTTATTGCACATGATGATACTACGTAAGTTAAAAATCGATTATAAATTGAAAAAAAAAACGTACTTTTTTTCAATTTACAATTGACTAGCGACCCGCCCCGGCTTCACTCGGCTGTAATGCTAATATTAAATACAATACAGAAAAACTGTGAACGTTGTATATAAAAACCTTCCTCTTGAATCTATCTATTAAAAACCATCAAAATCTTTTGCGTAGTTTTAAAGATTTAATAACGAATACAATACTTATTACTTATAGCACAGATAACACATTCCCGCCAAAAGTAACACAGAGCACAGATAATGCAACGCCATAATTTTAAACCACAGATCCGAATCAAGTAAGACGCAGATATTTATCGTAATTTAATTAACACTTATAAATACAATTAATCTGAATTAACCAATCAAAGTTAGTCATACAATCAATTAAATATTCATAAATCTTGATTAACGATAATTTGCATGTACACATAGGTACATACCTTAAAAACATATTTTGCAAGTGATATTGAATCGTTGACCTTCAATTGTAAAACTATGCCAAGTGCATGTTCTTCTTACACAATGCGAGTTCCGTACAATACTCGTATGCGTCCTGATGAATTAGCGTCGTTTGACACTGTACTTTTAGAATCAAAGGTCATTTTATTACTTCGCTATGTTCAACGGCGCGATCGGAGTAGGGAGTATCGTGTACATGTTATTACGTAAACGTTTTTTTTTATGATAGAGGAGGACAGAAATGGCATGGGATTCACTTGATGGTAGGGTAGGCCTATAGCATGAACAAGATGCGCCGTCGACCTATTTTGGCTTTATATATATTATGGCTTTTGATATTGGGAAATCCACAGACTATAATCGAAACGCGATTAAGCTTCACGGCTTTCTTATCTGTGGGCGGTGGTACGTGACCCGGAAGGAATTTCTATATCCCTGCCCCCCATTTAATATCAAGGTTTCCACACAAAGTCCAGCTTCAGAAAAAATTTAAATTGAAAAATTTGAAACATGACCCGGTGGGGATCAGCCATACATTGCTACCATTAGACCAAACTACTACCTACTTTTTAATTGACAACGACTATGTGACCCGCCATTGGCTATATTCACACTCGTATATTTTGAAATCAAATAATAATTCTAATTAATTTCTATACGATATTCTTTATTTTAAAATTAATACTTTAGCGACTTTAGTTATCTATTGTTCTTTTACGTATTTTGCAATCAAAACTCCCGGCACATCTAGATTTTGAGAATTTAATTATATAAGTAATTATTATATCACATTACACATGAAGTTTTTCTAGCATTGTGTCATGAGAAAAAATACGTTCAAAATCGGAGCATCGTTAGATAATATTGTTAAGAAATTTCAATTGAAAATGCGGTTCTCAGATATAATTGATAAGTAATTATTCAAATTATTAATAACATTTAAATACTATTTCGATAAAACACTATATATTAAGTAATACATTTCGCGTTTTCAACCGTTAAAAGTGTTTTATTTAAATTTGTACTAGCTTTTCACATTAATATTATATGTATTATGTGTGGCTTGATGTGAAAAAATAATACGGACGATAGTTATTCTGTTGACATTTTGAAATAGAGCTATGAATGAGACTGGGTTTTTAACAGAGGTGTTGTTTTATTCTCTTTCACTTTTCGAGGTCGCTCGCGCTTTAAAATGACATCATTAAAAAAGAACGATGACAGACACCCAAAATTATTTTTCGATCTAGGCAATACAAATCGTTCTGGGCCGGGCATATAAAAATAGCATGATGGTAGCTTAGGGAAGGGATAGAGAATACAGGACGACAATATATTAAAAATGGCCACATTGATTTAGCTGAGGACTGGCTGGAAACAAAAAACTTAAGGGCTTGCCTTCTCCACTAGGCGCTGAATTTTGATTAATTCAATAACTAAATAAAGCTTTAAACATAATCTGTTATCCGATAAATCATAAGAAAAGGGGATGATTTTTTTATGTTTATTTATTCTAGCGCTTAAAAGTTATTAAATCCATTTTAAAGTACATTTTAAAATGATTTGTAATAATGGCTCGGGTGACATAGGCTATATACAAGTAAAGTATCCAAACATGACGGAATATAAATATGAAAGCTAACCTCGAAAATATAAACTCGATCGCTACTATATTTCGATAAAAGTAATTGAGACAACTTGACCTGACCCCAGCCAAGTTCTCGCGGAAGTGCATCAAAAGATCGTAACAAAGACCAAGGTAGGTACTACGCCATTGTTGAATGTTATTCTTTTATTTTGTACCATTCTGGAAATATGCTTTATGTAACGTGACAATTTCGATAGTTTCGAGTCGAGTGGAGAGGTATTTTCATTAATACGGAGCCCATGTTGTATCTACGAGTTTTAGCTCGAAAGTATATCGCTAACTCGCGTTTAACAATCTAAAAAGTCTTACTTAGTCTATGTACTATTAAGCTATAAAATATTATTATGTATATGTGTGTCTATTCCCGGTTTATAAGACACATTTCTGTGGCTCTAAACACAAGTAACAAATTATGTTCCTCCGGGATTAGAACGAAGGACCTCACATGCTCGTCTCTGTATAACCCTCCGAGTTACGGAGGCGACAATGATATTTGGTTAAATATGTAGTTACAATTTTATACATTTACCTGTTTTCCCGCCAAAATTGCCCAACGGTGATTGATAGTTCACAGTTTTGGTGTCGGCTATGCAGCTCATAACTAATAGCAACACTATTAGGTATTGATGAAACATTTTAACACTTTTTATATATGAGCACTCTGTTTAATTTTATTAAGAACTTCTGAAAAACAGCTTTTTGTAAGTCGACTGTGATTTAAAAATAACAACACGGTCACACTTAAACGGTTTAAAATGCGATATATTAGTTAAACTAATATATTGCGTTTTAAACCGTTAAATTGTTTCATTTAAATAACAATACGGTGAAGTGAAAATGGCGGATGCCCTATTTGTCATATTTGCTACTAACATCGATAATTTAGTCTTCTCTATAAAAAACCACAAAAGTGTTATAATCGATTAATTATATTAATAGTTGTTAATAGAAAATCGATATAAGATCTTAGTTATCAATTGATATAAAAGCAACTAATTTTAACATCTCTATGTTCTGGTGACCACGACTGTTTAAAAACAAACATTAGGTTAAATATATATATATATATATATTTCGCCAAGTAAGTTAAGTATTTAAAAATGTTTTAACACAGTTCAATAAACAATACCTATATATTTAATTTTTCTTCACGGAACAACGCTATATTTTCCAATCTCCAGTGTTTAATAAAAAGGCGTAAACAATATCTACGTAAATAAATTAAAAAATAGTGGCATTTTAAACATAATGAGCCTTAATTAGTAATAATAAACGTCTTGACAGGAAATATACATTTTTTGTCATATGTAACGCCTTAAAATTAATTAATATTGTTTACAGGAATTAAAGAGCAAATGGTTGATATTTATAGCGTTAAGAAAATTATTTTAAATGTATGAATTAATTATCGGTAAGGTCCAATATAATAATACCGTGAACCTATTTCATGAAATAGAATACCCAAAGTTACTTCTTAACATTTTGCCTATTAGCTACTATATCAAACTCGGTTTTGCTGTTTCAGAGCTTACCGAGTTTGAACCGAAACATAAAGAGAAACGAAACGAACATATCTGTAATAATATGTTTACGCAAGTGAAACATATAATAAACTATTTAACACGTGAAAACGGGAACTATTTTATAGCAGGGCAGGGATTTTGTAGCTGGCAGCTTCTAATACATATACAATAATATTGTTCGCGTTTTAATCAGTTTAAAAGTGTATTATTTATAATATCTTAAGAATTAATCTGGGTCTTAAAATTGAGTTTGCGATTGCGTGCTTGATAATACGAATCTGCCCAAAAGTAACAATGCATCATAACGTCTATTTCAACATGAGACGCGCCGACATAATATATCTTTATGTTACATACAAATAATAATGTACGTTTCCAAATATTTGTACCATTGCTCCATAATAAGTAGAGATTGACCTAATGCGATGTAAACCGAAATGCATTGAGCTGAACATTCGGATTAAAAAAAAATCCGGTTTTTATGATTTGGTTTTTTGTTGGTAGCGTAGGACGCCCTAGATATAACGCAGGTACAACAAAAAGTTATCTTAATATATTTATTTATTTATTTATATATTCTTTATTGCACAAAAAATAAAAATATTACAAATTAAACCTATATACTAGAATGGAGAGCAATGGGCGGCCTTATCGCTAACAAGCGCTCTCTTCCAGGCAACCTAAAGTTATGAAATGTTAAGAAAATGAGATGTGCAAGGTAGGCGAAACAAATTAATACAAACAATAAATAATCATAAACAAAAAAAAACACAGAACTTAAAATAAAAACATACAGATCTAAAAAGGTTACATGTTTACTAACTTAAACGAAGGGACTAAATATATTTAAAATAAATATATAGTGAGTTTACTCAGATGACCGACAGGAAATGTTTATAAAGCAGCCGTTTAAATGATGGGAGAGAAGGAGCCATGCGTATATATAATATAAAAATTGCATAAGTAGATCATTACTATACTATTTTTTAAAACAATTACCCATAGACAAGCATGAATCATTTGATTAAAGGCGAAATACCTCAGCCATACAATGTTAACTGTCTAGCTATACAACATCAAGCTATCGATCTGACTGGCTTTTGACATTCTATTCGTGTCTAAGTCTAATTAATACAGCAATTTTGTTGGTCTAATGGTAGCAACATATGACTAATAATCAACGGGCCGTGGGTTCGATCGTTTAACATATTTCTAATTAATTTCTAACTTTGCTGAAACATGTTGGGCTTCACATGGAAAAAATGTATATTAAATCGGTTATAAGAATATCGAAATTCCGCCCAGGTTACGAACCACCGTCCTCAGATGAAAAATACGTGATGTTTAATCGCGTTTCGGTGTCAATCTGTGGATTTCCGAATATCCAAAGCACAAGTAGGTGAATAACGCATCTAATTGAGATGTTATGGTTGGGGTAAAGCAATGTCGTCCTCCAAAATTCCTTATTTTAATCCGAACATCAGCAAGATTCGGTTCGGTTTCAATTGGCACTTCCCTAATAAAAAGTGTTATTTGTAAATTCATACAATTTGGTAATGTTAATTTTGGGTCTGTGATTTAATAGTATGGCCTAAGTAGGAGTTAGTAATATGTAATAAGTTGCTGCTAATGGCAGTTTAAAAGGGTTTTAAATGCTTCCCTTTCACGGAAACTCATTGTGTACTCAAAATAGTTCAATGTCTATGTGTACTTAATTATTTCAAGGATTCATAAAATAATAAAGGAAATTCTCGAATTGGTTTCAGACATTTTAAACGCGCCATTATATAAATTGTAACGTTCAACCGTTCATTTTTTAAATACTTAACACAGAGTTACGTATATTTTATTTCTCTTTCAGTGCCTATTTCATACTAATTCAAATTCCTAATATGGATTAGGAATCCAATCACGTGTAGGCGGTATGCTTATAATGAAACATGTGTAATTACCAACAGCTTATCAAAGTTCTATTAGAGTTCCGTAAGAAAAGGGTGTTGTGGGACCCAATTCCGGAAAAGACTAATTAGGCACGGAACCGTTTGTGCGCGAGTCAGACTGTAACTTTGCCGGTTTTTTTATCATCTTTCTGATTTTTACGTATGTTCTTCATTAAGATTACCTCAACATAATACAGATAGTATACTTATGTAATAAAATAAAGCAGGTTCGTTATTTTACTTAGATATTACTGCGGTTTTGCATTCCACCACGTATTTCCAAACGCCATAGACACGCAACTACAGAGTAGAGACTACCTGTTGGTTTACATAATTATATAACAATTTGCTCTTACATAAAGATAAGCCTCGTTTAAACAATTTCTTCGCCTGACTGGCAATACCGGTGGTGGTGTTAAAGAAGATAAGAAACCTATGCTATGATATAATAACGAAGTTTTGTCTGTATTTTTCGCCGAGTACAGTTAAAATAAGTTAATTCATAAATTTCATAACTTGATCCGTTAAAAAAGTTTTACTCATTATATAATCTCCTCATATATAATAACATATTAACTATGTTACTTGACGTAAGCCTACGCTTTGAAGAATTAGAAATTGAAGAATGAAAACTTAATTATACAGCTTTGCTTTAACAAATGTGGCATGTATTTTAACACGATTATAAAATCAAATGATTGTGCACTATAATCTCTAGCAATTAGAAGATCTCAGAGCGGACTTTGATTGACGTTTACGGAAATAAAATCTTAACTGTTTAATGAGTTTGAAACCACAAATAACAATATTGAGGTTATTAGTTTCCAAAATTGGTGATATTATTTAAACAAAACACTTTTAAACGCAATATATACTTATTAGTTAAACTTATTTGATAATTATTTTAATTACGGCTCAACGCAAAGCATCCGAAACTTTGCAGCGGCCGTTGTCACGGAGTAGTCCCGAGTAGCTAATATATATCGCGTTTTAAACCGTTGAAGTGTTCTTGTTAAATGTGTACTATTCGCGTAAACTACAGACAGTATTCGGTGTTATCAGTTCAATATGATATATACGTTTTTTCTAATTTATATAATACTGAGTAACTCGCCGGTAAGTACCTACAATAGTAACTATAATAGTAACGTATTAAATCTCACTTTAATATAAACAAAGACGTGGTATAAGGTCAAACCTATAGTTGAGTATATTGTTAGTTATAATTTATTTTACTAAATCTATTGTTTGACTTTACTAGAATAATGATTTAATTATTTTGTTAAACTATTTATCAACAAAGAGTGAGAGAAACTTAAAAAAAGTAAACGTAAAATATGAGAAAAACGAAAAAGATATATCGGATACTGCTTCGATACTAATCTTTAGGTAGATTCTTTTACATCTTAGTTTTATTAAACATATTTGAATAAATTAACCTTTTACGAAGGTCAAATCAATTTAAAATGATGCATCTTTTATGACAACCTTTGAAACAGAGTGGCATTATTGTTATTTGCTACATTAAATTAGTATTTGTTTATGGCCCTTTTTTATTTAACGAATTTTATATAGCTTAAGAATATATTACATGTAACATGTTTGGTTTCGTACTTTTTATTTTTGTTTATTTATCACTCACCTAATTGAATATTAAATTGGTATAGATTTAAAAGATCATATTATTATAAATTCTTTATTTAAGTATACTTAAAAACACTTAAATATACGTAGTAACAAATAAAAATAGTAATCTATAGGTATTCCAATATGTGAGCAACAGCAAAGAAAGTAAAATTTAACAATAATTTAATACTGTTTACGCGAGTAGTACACATTTAAATACTTAATTAGTTTAAAACGCGAAATATATAACACTAGCTGTGCCAGCGACTTCGTCCGCGTAGAATAGTTGTTTTGGGCGTCCAAATTTATTTTTGCAAACCTCTACATTTAAGCTGCCTACGACTGCATCCCGTCGTTCGGGTCCCGTCTTTCTTGCAAATTAATCTTAAAAGATAGACATAGTGTCATCATGTCACATTTTTTCAGATTATTTAAAGAGGAATCATTTCTCTACAAATATTTTTTGGGTGTCTTGAACCGTTTTCGCAGCGTACGCATCAGAAACCCACA